TGGGGCTGCAGCAGGAAGGGCAGGAGATGAGCCTGGAGCAGCAGGCAGAGCCAGAAGGGAAGGCACGCACAAACACAAATGAACAGAGTCCCTCCACCGATGCGGGAATAGCAAGGGGGCCCAGAAGCCGGCCGAGAGAGCTCCCAATGGCTGCAGCCGGAACCTGCGAGCAACAAAACCTATGAAGTATTGGGTCACAATCCAAAGCATAAAATAAATATCTGTGAGTCAATATTCACACAAAGGCTGCAATGAATAAATAAATGAGGAGGGAGATGCAAATCTTCCCTGCAGATTCTTCCTTCCTCTTTCCTTCTTTCTCTCTTTTCTTCCTGTTGTCAAACTAATCTATGGAGACAGTCTCTCCTCAAGAAGATAGAGTGTAACTCTCCAGTTAAGTGAGGGAGGCACACAGTGATTTGCTTCCAACAAAGCGTGGAAGGAGGTGAGGAGTAATTATCTTGTGGGAATGGAGTCAAGGGAAGATAAAATCTAACACTGGATCAGGCCAAGTGTATCCAGACAGACTTATCTGAGGTTGGATTTTTCGTGGTTGCTCACTCGACTAGAAGTGGCTGTGGCAGTGTTCTCCGTTGGGTTAATGAAAGCCGTGCTCCATGGTGGCCTACCGCCGGCAGGTTGAGGTGGCAGAACCTTCTGGTGCAATGCATAAAGCTAAGTCAAAGACGTGGGCAGATGGGAATGTGGATTTTATGGAGGGGGAATATTCAACCATACGATGGGGGCCAGGTGACCATCTCTCCACTAAGGTATTACAAAATACATTTATGACGAGGGCACCAGCATCCTTGCAAAGTTCTGTGGTGGCTTTCTGCCCCATGATGCGGTTCATAGCGGAAGAGGAGGCCACTAACAGAGATCCCACCAGCAAAACAAAAACTGCGTCACGGAGATTTTGGTGGAGGGGACTTAGCCCGAGTTGCTTACGCCAACGCTGGAGGCTGAATGAGGGAGAAGGCCATTCACCAAGGTCATCCAGAGGTCGTAACCTGGGGAGCAGCTGCCACTGGGGTTGAGAGAACAAGGACGAGGCGGGGGGCGGGGGGGGGTTACCCAGAAGTCTGGGGCTCAGGCTTCCGAGAAGGGGCCCTGAAAGCTTGCTGCTGCTCCTTCTGAGAGTCCTCAAGAGGCTGGTTCTGGGAAGGCTTCAAGACTACAGAGGCCGAGACCAACTGGGGAGAGCCCATTGCTGAGTTGGTGTTTCAGGAACAGCAAACTCAAGAAGGAAGTTCCTTCTCCCTTCTTCCTGCTTCCTTTTCCCCTAGAAACCCTTCTGAACAGGACTTAGGGGCTACCAGTTAGAAAAGGAGGAACCTAGTTTGTGGAATCCTGGCTCAATGTGGTAAAGCAGAATCTAGAAGAGTGGATTCGGAACTGGGGGGACAACAGCCCAGTAACCTGCACAGAACCTGCTTTGTCCCATCCACTTCCAAAGCCAGCCTCTCCAAGACAGGCACTTTCTTGAAATCTCTCCTTGCCATGGCCGGACTGGGTTTTAGTAAATACTGGTTGAGTTTACTAAATATTTACTAAATTTTGTAAATACAGCATCATGGATGAAGTTACTGTAATCCCGAGATAGTACAATCCACCTGACCCTCAGACCTCAGCATTTAGCAACACCCCACATAACCATAATGCTCCATGTATCTATCGAGCTGGAAAGTTGGTTTTCTCTTCACTCCAAGAGGATCGTTTTGTGCAATGTCATCTCAGGGGAGCAGAGCCTTGTCTTCTGAATAAGTGGTAGCCTCTTGGCTCTGATGAACAGAGGTACTGAGGGGCAGCTTAACTCTCCTATAAAATAACTTTAAAAAAATCACAGGAAAGGCAGGGATCAGCTTCCATGGTGACGGGGATTTCTAAAGAGTCTGCACATAAAAAAAAAATACAAGACAAGGTCTCAGGAACTTGCGAGGACTTGCTAAAAATAGTCCGAGCACCAGTAGGAAAGCTCAGCATTTACATCTAACCAGCATTTTTCTTCACCCGAAAAGGCTGATAGGGAGAATTTCTGGTCTAAGAGTTAATGGTATTAGGTGAGTGATTGATCACACAGCTCCTGGAAGAAGGGCCCAAATACAATAGTCTGGTATCAGCAACTACAGTGGTGGCAGGTGTGTAATGAGGACAAAGAACTGTTCTCCGGGGCCTCGAAATGGCATTGCTACCAACACACTCAGCCCAGAATTATCCATGTCAAATTAACGACACTTCTCTGGTCTTTTTCTTTCTACTGAAATAAAAATGATAATAAATGAGCTTCGCTGCTTGGCAAGAGATAATATATCAGCTTTTTCTTTGAAATACTCAGAACTTAATATCAATGACATTACATGCCATGCATGAAAAGACTCCAACTGTTAAGAACTGTGCAAAATTATTTTTACTGCAATGTTAAATTCCAAAGAAAAACACCAGAAATTGCTACGCGAATTTGCATTTACAACCTTCATTATTTTCAGGATATGGTTTTGCCACCGAATTCCAGTGAGTCATGTGTTCATGCCAACATTTTCAGGGAAAGGTTTATGTGAAGCTATATCCCATTCAATCATTTTTTTTTTAAAAGTGGGTCTTTGAAAAATAAAATGGGACTTGTTTATATCAAGGAGGCCAAGCTACAGGGACGTGGGGTAATATGTATATCCTAAAAGTAGACATTTTATTCTCAACTTCCATGACTGTCAGAACCCAACACCAGCGTGACTGAAGGAGAAGATGGTCTATTTTCCCATCATTTCTAAAACAGGATGAAAGATCACAGGGCACTCAAGTCACAGAGGCAGCCACGAAGATTATAGAACCATAAAAAGCTCCGTGACTTGCTGCGTGCTTGATAAGAGCAACAGGATAAAGTGATTTAAGAAGGAAGGCGTATTTTAAACACGGAGGAAGGATGCTTAAGGACTGGCTAATTTGTTTTCCTCTAAAAATCTTCCTTGTGGTTCTCCTGGGAAGCCTGATCAATTAAAACTCTACATGCTATTCTACTTGCGAGAAGGATGAGGAATACATTTCTCGTGTTATTACATAAATGAATCTCGTCTTCAGGGCTTTGAAATATATCTTTATCCGGGCTGTAGTGGATTTGTGTGCTGTCTCATCTTTCTTCTGCGTTACAGTGAAATTGATTTTATGATTCTGTCCTCATAAATTACAGGCCTGAGGCTGTAACAGACTGGAGGAGTTTTGTCTGTGTGTTCCCGAGTTTCAGAGGCTGGGCCTGTCCCCCCCCCCCTTTTTTTTTCTTTCTGAACCACATATAGCTCTTCAACCTTGCAGTTCTGGTTCCAGTTCTGGAGCTAAACATGAAGTTTGAAAACGAAGGGTCTGTTAGGCCCAGGATGTGTTTGTGGCTTGTTTGGATCCTCTGAACTATTATCCCTGAAGCCTTTAGCATGTCACTGGAATTAAACATTCTGTTAAGAACGAATAGAATGATCACCGTGCAACTGAATGCACGTTAACATGGGCACCGTTATGAAACTAATGGCAGTAAAACTTGAAGGATGTCTTTCTCCTCTCCTCACTCTCCCTCCTCGTTGAGAGCAAAGTAACCCATAATAGCACTTGCATTTCTGACAGTCCTACGGGGTCCTACTTACATGTCAGGCTTTGGTCACTCAGTCCAGAGAAGTATGACCTTAATACCCCGCCTTTAAAAAGAAAGCGAAGCTCTGCTGGTCCCTCCACTAGTCTAATGAGAGGGAAGGGTAGAGCCACCGTATATAACTATGGGCCATGCCAAATTTGTTGGTCCTCAGTCTTACCCTTGGGAGCTCGGGTAATTTCTTGAGGCCACCTCAGAAAGACTGAGGGTAAAGGAAGGGAAACAGAAATCAGGTCTCTTCATCTTGCTCCCTGGCAGGTGTGACCCCCCTGACCCAGCCTGACCCCAGGCTTAAATTTTGGGAGTGGGTGGGAGTTCTGGGATGAGAAGCCAGTGGAGGCGTACGCAGTCCATCTCTCCCACATTCACCCAGCACGTGGCTTCTGGGTCCAAGGCTCCCCTTGCCGTCAACCCAGCTGGATACGCAGCCACCCAGTGCCCCGACCAGGCCAGAATAAAGGTGGTCATGGGAGCATTAAGTTGAAGCGGAAGATGGTTCTATAAATATATTTTCTAAACCAAATGTTACTCCTAATGTTCGGGTTATTTTTAAGCCCACTTAAATCTTTTGGTTTTAATATTGCAATTGCCCTTTTGCCTTCTTTGCGTAATAATTCTAGAAAGCGATCATTTACATCAGTACAGTTCATTATTATCCATCAACTGAGAAAACACGGCCCCAAAGCACAACTGTTTGGCCCGGTGCTTTGTGCCAATCTCAGAACGAAGGGGAAACAGTCAATCATGGCAAATATAATAGGATACAGAAGAGTTTCCCACTTTTTTTGCCAAGTTGACTTTGTGGTCATGACATCTCTGGATATCCAACATTTCTGTACTCACAAGGAAGAATAGAATTCAGTCTAGACTTGAGTTGCGGCTTCTCTGGTCCTCCCTGTGCCCTTGCTCGCGTGGGCACCGTTCCTCACCCAGTGCTCACCGATGTGCAGGGTGACGTGTCGGTGTGCGCACTCCGGGCCCTTCCCGAGACTCTGAGTTCTCAAGGGCAGAAATTGCTTCTCACTGTTTTCTGGCACCGTAAACCCTGGTTCACACAAAGTTCCCAAAAATATTTGTTGAATAGGCCAAGTGTGTGTGTCCTATTTCTGATACCTTTTTAGAGATGCTGTTATAACACAAGTCTCTAGCGCACACACAACAGTCAAACCACAGGTAGCGAGTGTCCCTGGAACCAAACTCAGTGAAAATGATTGTTAAGGAGTGAGACAGATAATATTCCAATATACGTGCGGCTGTGGCGACCTGTCCATTGCTGTGTCATACTTTTTGTGGGTTGGGAGTTACTGTTTTTGACTTCTCAGTCAATAAAATGTTTCCAATGAGAATTCTACAAGAATACGAGACATTTTGTTTACATCACATGATTTATTTTGGGATTATCCCTCTTAAGTCCTGCATGCATTGTTAGCAGAAGAAGTTGGACTTGATCTCGACTTCCTTTGAAGGGCCCGCAGGTCCAGAGTCGCTGTCCGTAGTTTCCTCACGGACGGCCCTTGAACCCCGGGCCTCGGTAACACTGTCAGCGACCCAAGCGATGTTCAATAGAAAAATTTACCCCATGTCATTTGTTTAATGTAAACAAGGCCATAGGCAGAGCGAGTGTTACAGTAACACTATTTTACAGGGCCCGGAAACATGATTATCTGTCTTCTGTGAGCACATCCAGTGCCACAGTGACATGCGCATTCTGATTAATTGTGCAACCCAAAGTAGGATGACCATGTATTTTGGGGTTTTAGCATTTCACTGTAACTTCGGTCAATACCTAAGAACTTCATAATTAAGTGGTAATTGTATATTAATGCAATAATTTATGGAAATATGTTACCATGGATTATGAAGGTAATTCCATAATTTGTGCCCTGTAAAATTAAGTGTAACAATCTTTACACTAGCAACAGTGTAAGCAAGCTAAGGATTTTGGTCCTTTTATATAATATACACACACATATATACACATGTGCACACACAATGATGTACAATTAAACCAAAAAGCTGTGAAGCCCCTCGTGGCTCCCATATTGCACCGACACGAGAACATCCCACAGTTATAAAGTGAGTACAATGATAACTGGCTGAGGACACACCGAGTTCTATCAAGTAAAGAATGTGGCTCATTACTAAAGATAACCCCAAAGACTGCACTGTTAGAGAGAAAGATGAAAAAAAAATGTGAATACTATTTATACCAATGTGAAGCAAGGCTACAACTGAGTTTGGAATTTGCTTGTGACAATCAGTTGCCAAGACGGTGCTTTCTACCCAACACAGTGCTCTTTGCTCACTGTCTTGCAAATAATAAACCTCAGAAATATTCAGCTTCTGAAAGACAGCAAGAAAAAGACTAACAATGTAGTACAATGTTTCACTAACAAACCCAACTCACTGTGAGAACTTGTGCTGGCTCTAGGTCTGAATTATCCATGAATAAAAGGAAGAGAGAAGAGAGAGAGAGAGGGAAACTGAGAAGAGAGACAAACTATACCGTAAGCTTTCGTTGATTACAAATCAAAGTTATTCCAATAACTTAGAAAAATATGTTTTAAGAAGCAGCATACACACATACAAAAAAAATGAGTTAAAGCTTTTCTCAGCTTGGTTTCATAGATTAGCTACAGGGTCCCTCTGCGAAATCAAAGATAAAATAGTATTTGGTTTGGGAGGTCACATCAGCGCTGTCACACCCACTGAGCACTATGAAAACATTGAGAAATATCTAATATCTCTAAATGCTGTATTTCAAATACGCCCACATCAGTGGACTATAACTAGATCCCAGGCTGAAGCTGTTGCGGTATTCCTTACGTGGGCTGGTGAGTAAATACAGCAAACTTAATGCTTTCCCTCCACTAAAAATCATTTAAAGAAAAGCATGCACAAAGTAACTACCTCCCACTTTTGCTTTTCCATCTTTTTTGCTTAATGAATTTCTTAGAAGGAGCTAACAAAGATTTGCATTAAATTAGAAATGGAGTCTTTTCATTGTTAATTAACAATGGTAAGTGTTCTAGAGCCAAGAATATTCACAATCGTTCGATATTTTGTTCTTAATAAATAGCAAAAACTAACTATAAAATAAATCGGAAAAAACGAACCCGACACAAGGAGCAGGAGGTATACAACGTGCGCCTGCGCACACGCTCGCACACTGCAGCCACGGAAACGCTGCATCAGCTGGCCTCTCGGCAGGGTCTGCAACCGGAGGTTTGACGGCCTGCTCCCACACATAGCGGTAAACAGACAAGAGGAAAAGTGCTGCTACTTAGCATTTCAACTACAAAAAGGAGACACAAGCTTGAAAACAATATATGTGAGTGGCAAGCATCACGTGCAGGAGGAACGGAGAGCGGATTAGCGGACACCAGTTTGTAAATCAGTCCGAGCACGCTGCACGCGCCCCTGAACTGCCCATCCACCCAAATTCTCTCACACGTAAACAGGACACACTGGTTTGTCTGCTTGTTTTAAACCTGTCTTTAAAATAATTTAAAACAAAAGACCGAACAAAACTTTTTTCAAAAATGTAAACACTAGGGAGGCCATTGGCATTTCCATTGCTGCCTACGAGTTATCATCAGTCAGTCCCCACACAGACGCTACCGCATGATTCGGTGAGAAAAGTCGAATCGTAGAGCAAGTTTATGAAACGACTTTCAAAGAGGATAAGAAAAAAAAGGTTCTCAACCCATACATGTTAATTAGCATAAAATGGTACTATTTTAGTAAGCACTACCAATGGTGAGCCCAGATTCAACGTTACTGCAAAAAATGCCATGGTTTAAATAAACTGGGACCTGTACAAAAAAATTAATCACTCCATGGCTATGTGCACAAGAGTAAAAGAACATTTCTTTAAAAATATACATATATTAACTAAGAATTTTATCATCATATTAAATTGTTACTCTTAGAAAAGTTGAAGTCAATGGTTCTCTACACATCCGTCTCCCTATTAACTCATTTGATGGTCCCTGAATTATATATATTTTTTCATTTACAGTTTTTCATATTTTGTTTGGTAAGAATGCTGATCTTAAAAAGTTATAAAAATTGGGTTCTTTTTGCTACTTATTAATCCAAAAGAATGTAAGTGTCTGAGTCCCAGAGAACATCAAAATGCCTTGCTACCTAAAAGGATATTAAAATAACAGAAATATCAAAGTCATGACATCAGAAATTCTGCAGCTTTTCACACAGGCATCGGAAATGCTCATTTCCTGAAGTTCCTTTGATTGTGTCCTGGATTCAAGGACGTGCAAGTTTACACATAGAACCTTTATGATAAAGCCAAAGAAAGCAATATTGTACAGCACACTTTACTGAAATTGTCCACTCAGTGGGCTCGTAATGGTTCTGTCCAGTTTACAGCAACACTTCATTTAAAAAGGCTTCTTATCCTCTCTGCCGTGGGTGGAACCGAGTCTTTTTGGGAAATGCAAACAGTTCTGCTCCCTCAGTCACCTGAGAGGTGCTGTTCAGGGTGTGGAGGAGGCGTGGAACTTCACAAACGCGATGGCGGCCAGCTCCTTGCAGAACTCCTCCAGCACGATCACACCCTCCAGCAAGGTGACGTGGTCGATCCTGGGCAGGGACAAGCAGGCGACACATCAGTTCAAGGTGCCAGCGGACTGTCACGTGCTGGCGGAATTTTCAGATTAAAAGTAACATGCAAAACGCCGACTTACATGGGACCCTCAGGCTCCAAACCAAGTAATCGCTTTCTGACTAACAGAAGCTTGGGAGTAAAGTCTTGAATGCGCTGGATTCTGACCATAAGGTCTCCGACAACCTGCATCCCAGAGACAAAAGGAACCCAGTTCCTAAGTCAACTATGTAGTGATTTTCAGGATGAAACAAATGAACAAACTCCATTTCCTTTCATTAAATGAAGAATGTCATCTTTCACTATTTATATAACTGTCTTTGACAAAGAACTCATATCTATTCCTTAGAATACAAAAGTTATATACATCATTTAAGAGAATGAATTTTTTCTCCACATTTTACAGTCAAATGATTACTTCCAAACGGCAGATACATAATATTTCTCTGTACATGACACTGATTACATGTAATGATATGAAGATGTGAACTGGACAGGTTTACCAGTTCTAATCGGGAATATGACAAACCAGTGACTCACCCTGACGATCACAGAGAAGAGGGATCTACAGCCAGAAGCGAGGTTCACGTACGGGTCCAGAAGGTACTCGTGCAGGTGCGGGTGGGGGAAGAGGGACAGTCTAGACAACACCGACGTCACTTGCAAGTTCACGTCGTACGGCTACGGAGAGGTCACAAACAAAGACATCACTGACACTACTTGCAACGTATGCACCTGAGATTTTACTTTACCATTTTAACTTGCTTTTTCAAGAAAGGAAAATCTACCGTTTTACTCCTCCCTCCTCATGCTCTTCTACAATGAAAGTACCTGTGACTAAATTGCAGTGGTTCTCACCATCTTAGTCAAAGTGCATATACCATGGTCCTCAATGTATTTTTTTTTAAAGCATGCATATGAACATATAGAAAAAAACAAATACGGAACACAGCCAGAAAGTCTCTGTTTTATGCAGGTTGTTTTAATTAATGAAAGCGTTCAAGATGTCATCAAAACCCACCAGAGTGTCATAAGTGATACTAATTACAAACAGAAGACATGACGCATTAAGTATAAGACCAAAGACAGAAGGAAAGGCATTAAAATCTTTTAAAACATGGTAGTCTAGTTTTAGAAATAACATTCCTTATTCAACTACCCCTGATGACGGATGAAATGGAGTCACAGACACTTGTCAATAGGATGCGAGTCCTTGGGGGTGGAAATGACTGCTGTGCTCGGAGGGAGGGAGAAAAGTCAAAACTGCGATTGTATACAGGTTCCGCTTCGTTCTCCGCAAGGGTCAGCTCCCCCCAAATAATTGTGCGTCCGTGTAGAGTTCTCATACTTTGTGATGTAATGTCTCAGTGTAACTAGAATTCCAGTCTTTTACTATTTATCCTTCACAGAAAGTAGCTTGGAGGCACTTTACAGAGAACGTGAAAAGCAAAGCAAAAGACATGCTGTACAAAAAGAGTTATTACTATGCCTGGCGCTTCAGACAAACTGCTCATCCACCCCCTTCGGTGAAGGACCCCGAGGGGCAGAACGGCGCTGACTCGGGAAGAAGGCTGAGAAGGCCCCGGGAGGCTGGGCGGGGGGCGGGAACGTGCACTGCGGCGTCGGGAGGGGAGGAGCGATTCCAGGCCGGTCTCCTACTAGCCATGGAATCCGAGTGTTTCACTATCCTTCACTGAGCAGCTTTGAAGTTGATCATACTGACTACCAGTTAAAAGGGGGATATTTGCCTTCAGAAGACAACAAATGCTTCAGCATGCTCTGGCAGACAACAAAAATCCTGTTAGGTGAACACTCAGGTCCCGTGTCACAGGGCGCTCTGAGTCATTGTCACTTACTAGAGTCATGAACACAGACTTTCTGAAAGAAGAAAAACCATTTCTAACTCATTCAGAATCCGGCCCTTCAGCAATGTCAGTGCAGGGAGACGCCGGTCCTGTTAGAGGACGGTTCGGAGAACCTGTTCTCCTATTTGATAACATTTGCAACAGAAGAGCCTTTTTCGAGATTCAATGCATAACAAATGGTGAATTCACTGTTAGGCACAAAGGAAACATTAAAAAAAATCTTTAAGAAGAATGCATTACTGTAAAAATGTGGACAAAATCACTTAAAATGAAACAAGTACAGAATTGTAAGTGACTTTATTTCAGGTAGCTGAGATTTTTAGGTCTAAATTATGGCATTTGTGGGTGCTTAAATAAATAAATAAATTGGCTTTAAATAAGCATACTGCCACTTTAACTTTAATTTTCTCTGTATGGTGTTACTTTGATTTTTAGTTTTATTTAAACAGGAAATCTATGTATTCTGTTGCTGAAGAAATTTAAGATTGACACAGTTTTTTTGTTATCCTCACCTGAGGACATTTTTTTCATTGCTTTTAGAGAGAGAGGAAGGGAGAAAGAGAAACATGGACTGGTGGCCTCCAGCACAGGCCTGGATGGGGACCGAACCCGAAACAGCTATGTGCCCTGACTGGGGATGGGGCCCACAACCCTTCAGTTCGGGGACCATGCTCCAACCAGCTAAACCACACCAGTTCAGGCCAGGTTCGTTTTTTGATGCAAAAATGAAAATAAATTTTAGCTGGAGAGAAACTGTTCCACCATTCCTCTAAATGGTCTCTACTCCATATTGGTAATGACTTGAAAGCAAGTTGGCCTTTTTGGATTTTTTTTATAATAATCTATTATTTTGGACCCTTTTATTTTGTACTTTATAGAGCATTTACCTGAAGTAAAAGCTAACTAGATTTTTCTGATGTGTCAAATGGACTCGGCCCCCTTTTGACTGAGCTTACACTAAATACAGAGTCTGAATTTGGGGACCATAAATGCCGACTTAGCAGCACACTGATGCCACCAACAGACACAGTCTCACCTCCTCTATAAAGGCCAAATACGCAGATACTCAAAGTAGTGAGATTTAAGTTAAATTTTAAAAAATCTCAACAACTCGAGAGTCTCTGAAATTTCCAATACCTGCATTTAACAAGATTTTGTATTTTAAATTAGTTTTTTTCCATTTAATTTTTTTTTTATTGGAGCATTTAATGTATTTACTTTTTTTTTGTAATTTTATTTATTTATTTATAAATTTTATTTAGTTATTTTTCAAGTACAGTTTTTTGTCTATTTTTCCCATCCCAGCCTCCCCCGCCCCTTGCTCCCCACCTCCCTCCCATTTCCACCCCCCCTTAGTTCTCGTCCCTGTGTCCTTCCTATTTGTTCCTCCAAATCCCTCCCCCTTTTTTCCCCTTAACTTCCCTTCCCTTTCCCCTCTGGTCACTATCCCCTTGTTCTCTATTTCAGTGTCTTTGTTTTTTTTTTTTTTTTTTTCTTTCTGCTTGCTTGGTTGTTTTGTTGTTTAGCTTCCTGTTAAAGGTGAGATCATATGGTATTTGTCTTTCAGCACCTGGCCTATTTCACTCAGCATAATGCTTTCCAGTCAAGGAGGACATACAGAACATTCAGAGACACATGAAGAGATGCTCAATATCATTAGCTATCAGAGAGATGCAAATTAAAACCACAATGAGATACCACTTTACACCAGTCAGGATGGCTATCATAAACAAAGCAACAAACAAATGTTGGAGGGGTTGTGGGGAAAAGGGGTCCTTAGTTCACTGTTGGTGGGAGTGCAGACTGGTACAACCATTATGGAAAACAGTATGGATTTTTCTCAGAAAAATAAAAATCGACCTGCCTTTTGACCCAGCAATTCCACTGCTGGGATTATATCCTAAGAATCCTAAAACATCAATTTCAAAGAACCTATGCACCACAATGTTCATAGCAGCACAATTTACATTAGCCAAGAGTTGGAAGCAAACTAGGTGCCCATCAGTAAATGAATGGATCCAAAAATTGTGGTACATATACACAATGGAATTCTATGCTGCAGAGAGAAAGAAGGAGCTACTACCATTTCCATTTAATTCTTATAAGCAAACCTAAGTAGCAGGTTAGGGCAAGTAACAGCAGCTTCACTTTGACAATAAGAAAATGGGACGAGTGGCTAAGTCAGTTACCCAAGGTCAAACTCTCCTCAGTGAGGGCAAGACAAGAACTTGGCCTCCTACATTTGTCTGGGATCGTCTACATTCTGCTCTGGACCTTGGCCTTTGTCCACAGTAAACATGTAATCCCAGCATGGTCATCCTGACCCTTGAGGGGTACATACTAAGAAAAAGTACAAGCTGGGTTTAAATGCTTTGGCTGTTAGGTATAAAACAAACAAGTAAACACTAGAAATGTAGCACATGCTATTAGATTAAAAATAGAAAAAAAGCGCTTACTCTTTCTCTTTATGGATTACTATCACAAATAGTACTGACTAAAGTCTAACCTAGTGGAATACTTCTTAAGTGGTAATTTCTTTATTTGGCTTTCTGGTTACTGAAGATGGCCTGCTTGCAAGTACATTTCTTCCCCTGCCCCCTGCCACCAGGAAACAGAACCCCCCCCTTTATTTTTTAAATATATTTTATTGATTATGCTATTACAGTTGTCCCATTTCCCCCTTTTACTACCCTCTGCCCTACACATCCCTTCCCACCCACATTCCCCCACTTTAGTTCATGTCCATGGGTCATATATATAAGTTCTTTGGCTTCTCCATTTCCTATACTACTCTTAACCTCCCCTTGTCTATCTTCTACCTAACATTTATGCTACTTATGCTCTGTACCCTTTCCCCCTCTCTCCCCCTCCCACTCCCCCACTGATAACCCTCCATGTGACCTCCATTTCTCTGGTTCCGTTCCTGTTCTAGTTGCTTTTGTTTTAAGTTCGGTTGCTAATAATTGTTGTCATTTTACTGTTCATATTTTTTATCTTCTTTTTCTTACTTAAGTCCCTTTAACATTTCATATAATAAGGGTTTGGTGATGATGAACTCTTTTAACTTGACCTTATCAGGGAAGCACTTTATCTGTCCTTCTATTCTAAATGAGAGCTTTGCTGGATAGAGTCGTCTTAGTCTCTAAGGCATGAAGTCCTGCCTTTCATGACTTCAAATGCTTCTTTCCTGCCCCTTCTTGCCTGTAAGGTCTCTTTTGAGAAATCAGCTGATAGCCTTATAGGCACTCCTTTGTAGGTAATTATCTCTTTTTCTCTTCCTGTTTTAAGATTTTCTCCTTATCTTTAATCTCGGCTAATGTAATTGTGATGTGCCTTGGTGTGTGCTTCCTTGGGCCCAACTTCTCTGGGACTCTCTGAGCTTCCTGGATTTCCTAGAAATCTATTTCCTTTGCCAGATTGGAGGAGTTCTCCTTCATTATTTGTTTAAATAAGTTTTCCATTTCTTGTTCTTCCTCTTTTCCTTCTGGTACCCCTATGATTCAGATGTCGGAATGTTTAAAGATGTCCTGGAGGTTCCTAAGCCTCTCCTCATTTTTCTTTTTTTGAATTCTTGTTTCTTCATTCTGTTCTGGTTGAATGTTTCTTTTTTCCTTCTGGGCTACACAATTGATTTGAGTCCCAGTTTCCTTCCCTTCACTGTTGGCTCCCCATACATTTTCCTTTATTTCACTTAGCATAGCCTTCACTTTTTCATCTAATTTGCAACCATATTCAGCCAATTCTGTGAGCATCCCGATTACCAGTGTTTTGAACTGTGCATCTGATAGGTTGGCTGTCTCTTCATCACTCAGTTGTATTTTTTCTGGAGCTTTAATCTGTTCTTTCATTTGGGCCATTTTTATTTTGTCTCAATGTGCCTGTTACGCGTATAAGGGGTGGATCCTTAGGTGTTCACCAGGATGGGGCAACCCATGTCACTGTGTTGTGACCCTGTATGTGGGGAGGGGTCCAAGAGGGAACAATGGTGCTTGCTCCACTCTCTGCCAGTTTTCAGTCCCTTCCACCGTGACCCACAATCAAACTGGGCCCTTCTGGTGCTGATTCCTGTGTGGGTGGGTTTGTGTCTGTTCCAGGACCCTGAGGGTCTCTCCAACAAACTCTCCTGTGAGGCAGGAAGTCTCTCCTGCTGCTGCCTCAACCCCCACAGGTGTTTTCAATCAGAGGTTTGAGGCTTTCTTTCCCTGCACTGGAGCCCTGGGTGGTACAGTCCATCTCACTCGCCAGGGTTCCTCCCAGTTTATCCACATGTAAATGTGGGACCACCAGTCCGCAATCCACTGCCTCACCAGGTTGCCAGCCACCGCCTGGCCTGCCAGCCTTGCCTTGCCTGCTCCGGTCCTCCACTGCCCCTTTCCTGCGAGTCCTCTCTCCTGGCCACCCATCTCCGCCCCTCCCACCAGTCTGGGTGAGTGTTTCTTCTTTAACTCCTTGGTTGTCAGATTTCCATGCAGATCGGTTTTCTGGCAGTTCTAGTTGTTTTTAAATTTGTTGTTATCCTTCTTTTGGTTGTGCGAGGAGGCACAGTGTGTCTACCTACGCCTCCATCTTTGCCAGAAGTTAGTACATTTCTTTTATGATTCCCTAAGCTCGCATAACCCTTAACTAAAATGCTAATAAAGACCAAGTACTTTAATATACAATTTTAAATGATTCCATATTGGTTAACCCGATTTCTATCTGGAGACAAGTACCACCCCAGATTTGCTTACATCAAGTGTCCTCCTCAGTGTGCAAAGCATCTCTAAGCTAATTTCTCAGTGAGGGGTGGGACGAGGGTGCAACTGTCATCCCAATTCCTCTCCCGACAGTCAGTGGGACACACACAGCAGCACGCCAGCTATGGTGGTCTACCCTCCCTGCAGTAAGTGAAGTTACCTTTTTCACTGTACCGCTCCCTTGTGAAAACGAGTGTCCTTCACAAGGTCTCTGTCTGAAGGAGCAGGCTCATGTCGCACTGCTCTGAACTGAGTGAGCCTTACAAGGCGGACTCTATTTCTATTTGTACTGACTGTACTAAAGGCTTTCTACATTAGTTATAAAAGAAAAGCCCTCTAATCTCCTCCAAAACACGTTAAAGATATGAAGACAATGGCCTGTAGCGAGAACTAAAATATACAACTCTGTAACAACCATCAGGCCAAATAAATGCTTTTACCATAACGAACGCATCGGAAACGCCTGTTGTTGACAAGCAAATTTTATGAAAACGTCATCTAGTGGAAAAACTAAGAAAACAATAAAACTACTTTATTGAAGATGTAATGTAAGACATGAGATGAACCTGGAATGAATGGTAACAAAATAATATGAAGATAAGTACCTTAACACATTACCTGATCAAGAATTCTTCCCATTCTGTCAAATAAAACTTTCAAAAAATGACCTTCAAAGAAAGCGGCTTCTAGGTTGCACTTTTCCAACGCTTTCGGGGAGCCGGGCCACTCCCACCTTAAGCAGATGGCACAGTAGTCCCGGAACTGGGGAAAAAGCATTGAGATCATCAGAGAACTAACCCGAAACGAATCGAGATGAGAGAGAAATTATTTCCTCAAACAGGAATACAAAAATTCCCTTGAATGCTGAGTGTCCATTACGTGGGAGGTGCCACGGGAGAGAAGAAATGACTCAGATAACAGCCTATCTAGACGCAGAAAGTAAAATGCTAATCACTGATGAAAAATAGGCATATTCTATGTTTACCAAAGTACCCCTTTAACTACTGTGCTTATTATGCTCTTTCCGTGTAGAGGAATGTAACCCTTTACTTATTTCCATTACATACTTAAGAGAATACTTAAAGGCATGGTAAGTTCTAGCTGCACTTTCAACTCTATTCTGCTGTTACCTGTAACAGATGGACACAGATGCACAGCACCTGGAAGGCAAGCCCGCCGGGCTTCCTACAGCGCATCTGCACCAGGAACGCTGCAACCCCAGAAGTGCTCCGCAAACTGCTGCCACCACAAGGAGCACAGAAACCAAGAGCCAGAACCGAGACCCTTCTACTGCAGTTTAACTGAGCCCATTTTATGTCCCTTGACCCTAATCAAGTAATCAGGGCTTGTAATTTGTGTTTTTTTCTTTGCATTTTACTAGTAATTCATTTTTTAAAAAATCCTCACCCAAGGATATGTTTACTGATTTTAGAGAGAGAGGGAGACACCAATGTCTGCACCCCTCTCCACAAGCCACCCGCAACAGGTGCCCCATGTGGGGATCAAACCTGCAACCTAGGTAGGTGCCCTGACCAGCGATCGAACCCACAACCTTTCTGGTGTACAGGAAGACTCTCCAGCCAACTGAGCCACCTGGCTAGGCATCTAGGAAATATTTTTTATTGTATTTTACAAAAGTGTCGGTCTCTGAGATTGGAAATAATAAAAAAACTAGTCCTTCACTACACCAAGTTTATCACTGGAATAAACAATAGGAATTCTTACAAGCATGAGAATATCTCATAATAAAAAAGTCACATATAATTTTAAGTCTTCCTGCCAGGTAATTTACTTGAATTTGGAATGAAAGAAATTTACAGCAAAGCTTCCTTCCTTATTCTTTCCCTTTTCAGATTCTCCTCAACAAAGCAAAATTACTTTGAGCTCTCTAATTGGAAAGTACTTGAAATTACAACAAAACATATTGTCACCATGAAGCACTAACTTCATCTTTTTAAGAAAAACAAACATATTTAAAATGATAAAAAAGCCAACTTCTTCAATAGATTGTGAGTTTTCAACTATTTTGCTTTCAACAGATGATTTTCTTTATAAAACCACATCCTAATGTTTAGTAAAGCATTTTGCTATTAACGCTTCTGAAATTCTGACCTAGAATGTAATAGTTTAAAAAAATAATAAAACTTTTCAGAAAGAATAAAAGCAGTGTAAAAATGCTGTTGGTAGTACTGAACTGGTATTACTTTACTGCCGTTATTGTTACCGAAAGTACATCAATCTGGTTATTTATGTGGTCATGTGGACTTGAAGTCGGGCCGGAAGCATTAGGAATTCATCGTACCACAAACAAGTTAATTATATGTAATAGCACACTTAAATCCCAAACATGTAAATGAAAATTCAACACACATTGTTCTGATGTGAAACGTTTCAAAATTTGGAATTTTATAAAAATGTAATTGCTACAGAGTCAAGAGGACTGAGGGAAGGGCATCTCATTTAATAACTAAGGACAGATCGCAGGTTGTAAGCTCCTGCAGGGGAGGGAGGAGGAAGGGAGGGAGTGACTGCGGGGACAGCACCCGAAGGCCACTGGGGGTGGAAGACGCTGCTGCAGAGGAAAGAGAAGCCCCAGCAATGGGAGCGAGGGCGGTGGTGGGCGGAGTCACGTAGAGACCAGGTTTGGATTAGCAGGGGAAGGATTTGGGGGAGACACAATGTCAACTACAGAAAGGACAGGGAAGCAAGAGGGGGAGGGGAGAAGGGGGAAGAGGAAGAGGGAGCATTAGAGAAATCAGAGACAGAGACACAGACGGTGAGATGCAAGGGAAGGTCTCGTGCAGAAAGTTATAGCGAGAGCGGAGTTCGGGTCTGGCAGAGAAAGGGAAACCGCTGGAAAAATGGCTGCGGGCAGTGGGACGAGGTGTGCGCACGCGTTCTCACTGGATTTCATCTCAAAAAATCCGCGCCCTTACCTGCCTGTGAGCATCTCGGAGGTAGGTATCATACCCAGTGCCCTCGACGTGGTAGGAAGACTTTGCTTCATCCGGTACCAGACAGAGAAAACTTAAAGGGAAAAGCCATGGTCAATAACATAAATACCCTCAGAGCTCAGTATCTTTGTGTGTATTAAAGTATCTAGCAATATCTTTAGTCAAGTATCAATGCAAGTGGAAATTTGAACAATAAAACTATATGTTCTCAAGCACTTAACCTCAATCAGTCTTCCTGATTAAATACTCTTTCATTAAAGGTTTTATTTAAAGAATTCCTCATTCCACTTAAAATGGAAGTAAGCCTAAAACACCTTTGCTTTTACAGCCCAATGACAGAGTGCCATGGTATTTGTTAATGTCAGGAAACTGGCTTTTAAGTAAGTGAATTTAAGATTTTTATGCATCCTAATTTCACATCTTGATTAACAGGCAATTTTCTCTAGTCATCTGAGAGAAACAGGCACATCAGTAACAGCTTTGAAAAACAAGAAAAATAAAATTGTCACTGAAAGAGCACTTAAAAAAAAACTTAAAAACATGAACTAATGAAAAGGAATATCTGTACGTTCAGCATAAACAAACGCAAGTCTAATAAGTACAATTGTCAAACTGTTGATTCTCAGTGCCTTCTACAGTGTTGGGAGCTACTTCAAATTATTTACATTTAAAAAGTAGGGTACTCTGAAGGTCACAATTGTCCCTTCTTTTTATTTCACTTCACGAATTTGCGTATCATCCTTGCGCAGGGGCCATGCTAATCTTCTCTGTATCGTTCCAATTTTAGTATATGTGCTGCCAAAGCGAGCACCCTTTTTATTTCCATATCAAGTAGAGCCTTTCTCTGCCCCAGGCTTTCACTTGCTACATAAGCATGACAAAAAGCTGACATAATCTTTAGATTAAGTAAGGGAAGACTGAGTTCATAATATGTCTCTGTGACAATCTAAGAGCAGAGCTATTATCTGTTATGAAGACAAGTAAAAGAGCTGGGAGTCAAATTTATACAGCAACTCACCTGTTTACAATTTTGTGGACTTCCGTTTTCCCATCATTTTTGGGGTGGTCTGGAGTAGCAGGGGGTGAAGAGCTCAGCCACTCTTGGTTTGACAAAGTGTTATCTGGTGAAATGTCAGTAAATAATGGATCTTCTTCCAGATCTCTAAGTTCAATTTAATGATGTATAAAAAAAATGTATTATATTTTCTAAGCCAAAAGATTCTCTGCTGTGTTCTTAGAAATAATTTTATTCTTACATAATTTTATTTAAAAAAAATTAAGAAATAATATATATTTTTATAGAGAAATTAACATTTTATACTAACAGCAAACTCAAGGATGTAGTTAGTGATTCTGTTAGGTTTAATGGTCAATACTACTTGTAATTTAAAGGGACGGTGATATCAAGACATCTAAGTTTGATTTTTAAAAAACTTTAAAAACCGTTGAGGTTTCTTTACGAATCAAGGAGAGAAATAAGAGGAAGTTACAATTCCACGTGCAATGCCGAGCTCAGAGACGGACAGAAACTTACACGGCCCCTGCGATCAGTCCGTTCTCTACCACGTCTTTGTCTTCCGGGCACACAGGTTTGTACTCCGTGTAGTTTCTTTCTTCCAGATTTCTTAGGACCAAGTTGTAAAGAATGTGCTCATTGGGCTTTTGTAAAAGATGTTCAAACATCCTTAGTGTCATTATGCTTATCTGAAACCAAAAACGACAAACGCTAACTGGAAAATGTCTTAGAAGAAACCGTTCTTCTTACCGTCTTGTGAATCGTACTGGGCATTTTTAAAGCCACATAAAAAGAGGCTGTATTCAAAACATCACGAGTATATTAAAATCAGTATTCCAAAGACTCTAAGTCAAATTCTAAATAATTGCATCGCTTACCTCATCAGATATGTGATCACAATGTTCAATTAACCTATGTCTTAAAGGATGTCTGTTAATCTCTGCCAGGGTTTCTGGTTCCCTCTGTTCTCCAAGGATGAAAAACACCATTTCTTGAAGCAAAACGTCCGAGGTTACTTGCCGAACAATGCGGTGTAGCATTGCCGTGGACGTCAGGATGCCCATCTCAGAGCTGGCACAACAGACAGGTAATGAGCAGGCAAAAATAACACAACACAGGATTTTCTTTCTTTTTTTTCTCTTTAAGTAAAGAGGCCACTCACGTTTGCATTAACTGAGGTTCCATTACACCAATAAAAAATCTTTCATGAACGGCTTTGGCAAGAGCAACAGCAGTAGTCTGAAATACAGTATAAGCATCATTATGTTTTTTAATGGAAAACAGTGATTAATTTGTAACATCAGTCAATCAGTCTGCACCCTCCATCTGAATTAATGGGTAAAACAAACTTGCCTATTGACTATCTCACTTGATGGTATACGAATATTAGTTAATAAGTTCTTTACATTTTATCTAAATTTCCATGAACAAGACAGACAAAATAAAAATGTTAGCCCAATCAATTTAGGGTAGTGACATCTCTCCAAAGAGGAGAAAAAAAGGAAGACTGATGTTATCTTATGAAGGGTTGTTCTTATATTAAAGAAATATCAAGGCAGGATTTGAATTGTAATTTATTCTAGAGTTGTAACAGACACAAATACACACACATACACACTTCTTTTGTTTATTCGGTTTAAGTATTTATTTTACTAACCGTGCTATCTTAAGACAATTAAGATATAGTTGGGGATATAAACTGAGGATTCAAATTTCACTTAATAGACATTTAAAAATTTTTTAATGTTCAGTAAAAAATTAAAATATTCAAACCTTTTGTGCTTCCTTTATGAGTTGATCACAATAATCAAACCAGGAAAGAAATGAAATTAAGGCTCGTTTTCCCGGAAATGCCGAAGCATCTTCTTTATGACTATATGAGTCCAAACTGTAGGATGCAGAAAAAATGCTTGGTCCAAAAGTATCCAAAAGCATTAATCCAATTCAGCACATTGGAAAAATGAAGGCACGCAAATGAACTTACAACGCGTGACACCTTTACCCGGGCAAAGCAGCATGACTACCGGAAGAGGGTTTTGTAAAAGAAAGCCAAAGATTACAGAAAACCTTTTAAATAAAAGTTGTAAGTAATTTCTACTCATTACGTGCAAAGAGGGGGACCAAAGCAGAATGGACCTGCAGGAGAAAATCCATTCAACAGGTCCTCACACTTGTGCCATAAACTTGACCAAGTAACAGGAAGGAAGAGGCAGAAGTTCTCTGTGTTGGGGAGAAGGAAAGGCGGGTAAAGGAGGGTCTGCCAAAGGCAACGGCTGGCCTGCTTCTCCTCCCGCCTTAGAGTTAACAAGTGGGTCTGCCCACCCATGTGGACAGAATACAGGGAAAAAAAAACAAGTAAAAACCAAAGAAGGGTCTAAGACACACAGAAAAACAGTAACAAGTTACTATGTCAAAATATTAGATTGTTTGAGGTGGTGGGATTATGGGTGATTTTATTTATGCTGCTTTATATAGTACTTTTTAGCAACTTATAAGTGTCTTACAACAATCATATTTTCCTATGAGAATCAAGGTGGGGGGGGGGACCCATGAAACAGACAAGACTGCCCCAGGGGCCAAGGAATTTATTTATAAACAAGGAGATAAATTCTTTTAAGATTAAAAAAACCAAATAAAGTTATCGGCCTTAATGTGATTAAGGTCTTAAATGACCATTATAATGAATGAACAAAGGAAAAGTAGCTTTCCTCCTATGGCTGGACTACTCCCACACCCATTCACTGCCACTGATTGATAAGAACTGTGAAAGGACCCACACTGAATCCGCCCACTTAAGGATCACTAGTAATGCTGACCTTGTCCAAAGAGAAAGGGGCCTACCACTGCAAAATACTGGGTCCCACACAAATAACGCCCCTGTTTTATTACAAAATCTTCAGCATGTAATTTTGTAGCCTAACACTATCACACTCAAGCACACCATACGACATTTTTGGGGAAATGTTCAAATTAAAATGATAAACTATTACACCCATATTATTAGGGTGTATGTATATATGTATTTATATATAAATTATTACACCCCATCAACCACACTCAAGCAGGCCTTACTTCTGCCAGACCCCGCAGAAATGGATTTAAGGTGCAGGTGTAAGAAGTCACCTGCACGGAATAACACAACAAAAGGTTCAGGTTCTTACCCCCAGTTAATCGCTTCCACCGTTTCAATATCCAAGGGGTCCACCGACTGAGGTAGGGCCTTGTACAGGGAGGCAAGCCTGTCGGTCAGTAGTTCGCACAGGCAGGTGCTCTGCGTGAGGCACTTGGCTGCCGCGGGCTCCGGCAGGCTCACTAACAGCATCAGGCCCTCGCAGGCCTTCACGGCTATCCGGCCATCCTGCGGGCAAAACCACACCCCCTCAGTCCTCAAATCAGGATTTAATGCTTTACGCTAAAATAAGAATAGATTTTTTTTTCTATTTTAAATGCATATAACTGATCATACTGGGGGGCGGGGGAATGAAAGATGACCACTCACGGGACTCCTCGTGAGGTTCAGCAAAGAATTCACTAAGTTGTAGTCTTGGTTTGGACCGACGACCGAGGCCTCTGGCAGGGAAGTGATGCTGAGACTCTCCAGACTTGAGGACAGGTCATCGGGCTGAGGAGCGGACCCATCCTCCAGCCCCGTGGGCTCCGCCCCGGTGGCGCCAGGCAGCTCCTCAGGCCCGCAGGGCTGTCCTGCATCTGCGGACGAGGAATCCTGACCCTTTAGTGTGTCTTCTGAAATTACACTCGGTGCTCCTTTGGAAGCCAATGACTTCAACTTATTCTGAAAAGGAACACATGTTTTGTAAGATTCACATCGAAACCTTTTAAAACAGCAATGTAACCAGAGTAGTTGAAAATAAGAATACTCTAACAATAGCCAGAGGGGAGCGGGGAGGGGATGGGGGAGAAGGGTTTTCAGAACTACTATAAAGGACACATGGACAAAACCAAGGGGGAGGGTGGAAGCAAGGGAGAGAGGGAGGTTTGGAGGGGGTGGGGGGAGTGGAGGGGAGAAAATACAGACAACTGTAATTGAACAACAATAAAATAATTAAAAAAACAGAAATAGTGTTTTAATGTATTTCTCTATAATTCCGTATTTTTCCAGGTATAATGTGCACTTTTTGCCCAAATTTTTGAGGGGAAAAATAAGGGTGCACATTATAAATGTGTAGCGCCTGAAAGACCTTGTATCTGTTCTTGTGTTTTGTAGTTATTTGTTATATAAAATTTCTGGTACTGTAATTTCAAAGGTAAAGGTTAAAATCCTTCATAATACAAAAACCAAGTATCTAAATACAAATAAATAAAAACTTGAATTGAAAAATTAAAACAAAAAAATTTTTCCCTGAGAGTTTGGGCCAAAAACGTGGCTGCACAGCGGATACAGAAGTGCACTGCACACGGCAAAACACGGCCGCATTCAGTGTGCGGTCGGCACAGCGACAGACACAAGCGCTCTGACAAACCAGACTCCCACACCTGCACAGGCTGGTTTAGATATTTTAAACTGCAGAAGCATTTCTGATACGCATTACACTACCTCCACAATGTTTCCCACTGACCGTGAGCCCAGAACCGTATTAGTGACTGCTACTGGACTTCTGCTAAAAACCACTGATGTTGGTGGGAAGAAAGGATTCTGGAGGTTTCGACTGCAGACAATTCTCTCAACGATGGACCACTAAGATTATATAGGCTCGAAGCTGATTCTCCTAAAATATCTTTTCTAAGATGATTTTTCTCCTTACGATCCTGCTCTATATAAAAAGTAAGATGTGCTTGAAACACCGGCCCCTCCCCCTCCCATACACATACCCAAACACAAAGAGAATCTTAACTGAAGCAAATTATTAGTTTCAAGGCAAAAGTATCTTGTTTTTCCCCTCTGAAGTTAAGAGCAAAAATCAAACCGCACACACTAGTTTGAATCCATCATAAACCAGCTTCTCCACGGAGCCTACCGCTGTGTTTTGCCCATCACAGAAGCATATTAAATGCTGAATGAATTGAAAGTTCCACTTCCCAAGTCATTTTCTAGTTATTATAAGTCACTTTGATTACTGTTAAAAGTACAGCATAGACCACTCTTCTATGGTCTTCTATTAGAGAAATAGAGCTCACTGTACATGTTAAAAAAACAATTCTATGGAACTGAATAAACACTCTAAACAACAGCCCGATTTCCTATAAAATCAGTGCAGATCAGAGTGTTTATGATGTAAAACATTTATTTCATCAAAATTCTGATAACAGTTAGGAGTGGTACCTCAGATAAGAATGGCAGGAGACAGAATCACCTTAGAACAACCCTCCTTGAACTACCGGTTCTCAAGGTGAGGCTCCACACCTGTCCCCGGGTCTCCTGTGGGGACCAATAAAACTGCAGACTCCTGGCCCCACCCACACCCACCAAAAGGTGGTATCTGGTGGTGGAGCCAAGGAATCTGCATTTTTAAGAAGCTCCTTAGGTGACAGGAAACTGCTGCCTTCACGCCTGTGCTTTGCTTCTCGCGGACACTATTTCCTTTCCTCTTCGGGGAGGTCATCGGTAAGCACAGCACATTTGTACACACAACCCCCGAATCCCTTAAACCCAGACTTCTCTCCCAAACCGCTGATCTGCAACACCAAATACCTGCTAACTATTTCCACGAGGGTATCGTGATGGTTCAAAGCATCCAGAACCAAAATACCATCTTCCCCTCAAAATAAGCTTCCTCTGGGCTCCCTTCTTTTCATTAGCGGCAGCCTTGGTGGTTCGGGAAAGCAAGCATCCATCCTCCTCTCTCCTGCTTCGGGCCCGAGACCACACAGAGTCTACACCTCAAAGTTCTTCTGAACACACTTCACTCCAACCCAACGCTCCCAACTTAGTTACAGTCCTTGTTACTTCTTGCCTGGGTTCTCCACCAGCCTCCAAGTTGGTTTCCCTGCTTTTCTCTCTCCTCCCACAGGAATCCACTGTATAAGATGCTGCCACCAATTCACCAGTAACCACTCAAGGCACCGGTTCCATCACGTGATGACATCCCTGTTCAAAAATCGTCCGTAGCTCCCCAACAACTGCAAATTCCCCGTCCTGCCATTCAGAGCCTTTGACAGTTGCTGGTCTGCCTGTCCAGGTGCCCCTCTGACCACCTATCCTAATCACACTGTTTCCTGAACACACCATCAACTTCTGTCTTCATTCCTTTCCTTATGTCCACCCACTCTAACCTAAACATGTTGAAGCTCTTATCAAAGATAACTTCTTCTACGAAGCCTTTCCTATTGACCTAGGGCAGCTGGAATCTCTTCATCCTGTAAATACTTAAGGAGCATTTGTCTTGCATCTTTCTCCTGAACTTACCTCACTCTACCTTAGACTATGTACTGTATCTGAATACTAGTCTTACCTCCGTCACCAGCCTATAAACTCCCTTGGGGCAAAGACAGTTTCTAACTCATTTACCATATGCACTTAACCCATGTATGTGTGAGCTCACATAAATCTAATGTGGACTAGATTTCAGGGGTACATGCCTGAGAACTGGAAAGTACTTCTGTGACTATCTATACTCACAAGTAATAAAGCTGCATTTCTCTGAAGATTCACTCACTCAGTGCGTGTTACTTACACAGTCATTACACAGTGTGCTCGGTACTAGAGAATCTACGGGGACCCGAAGACAAACACAACTGAGTCCTTGTCCTCAAGGAGCTCGCTACCAGCAGAGAAAGTGACATGCGTATAAAAACTCCAATCCCGGGGAGAGTGTAAGGACCGACACTGAAAGTGTGTGAACGGTCAATTCCCGTAGCAGTGTTAACATGAATGTACTTTGAAGACTGACGACTACACCATACCTCCAGAAAGAAATTGACCAAATAGGGGTCCTCCTTCAGTCTCGCACACACAATGCAGAGGAACTGGATTTCTTCATTCTCCGTGGGCGTGGCGAGGACTTCCCCACACAGCCGGATTAGTTTCTGTCAGAAATTGTTCCAAAAATGTTTTAATTTAGGTTATTTTTTACAAGCATGTACATAGCCAACTATTTACCTTAAGGATACTTAAAATTTTCCAATAATACAAATAAATAGCTTGCATTACTGATATAACACTATTTATAATCACCAAGATCAAAATAAGCTCACTAGTATCAAATTTTTCAAATACGTTACCCTAAAAAATGAATGAGGTACGTAAAACACTCTCCTTGAGTTGTTAGGGAGATAAGTTGAAGGGAAAATTAACATATAAAATTTTAAAAGGAATATAAAGACATGAAGTACATTTAATACGTCAGCTCAAATATTTCCCAGTTTGCTTGTTATTTTTAGAGTAACTTTCTGTATTGTTTTTATGCTTAGAAAACTTATACTAAGTAGCATCTGTACCCAAGGAAATCAAAGCGATACGGCTGCGGGAGGGAGCGCGGTACCTGCACGGGCCTGTGCACGTTGATGTGCGGGAGCAGCGGCTGCCGGACCCTGCCCAGGAGTTTGGTGTAGAAGCCCAGCACCTGCTGTTTCATTCCGGGGGGACACTGGGCACAGGAGGGGAGGAGGGCAGACAAGGAGAAAACAGACGATACAAACACACTTACTCAAGAGCTTAAAATACAGGAGAGACACTGGATGGGACTGTATCCCACCCTCAAAGTCAATGCAATTAGCCAGGATAAAATTCTCAATCAATTATTGATGGGTATTCCAGGAATAAAATGACATCTGGGACTATAACATAGCGTATGGGACCATATGGAGAGAACACGCTCCTCAGATCGGAGTTTGGTTCGGGCAACGCCAACCTGCTTGTACTGTCACTGCTAAGGTAACGCGAAACTACCACAGTCCACTCGGTGGCAAAGCCAAGCCAGAATCTCGTAACTCACACAAATGACAGGTAACTGTGAACTTTCCAGGACGTACATGCAGGAGTAAATAAACCTAACACACATCTGTAAATTAAAGAATTCCTAAGGTATAGACATCTATGATGTAGCCCAACGATGTTATTTTAAGTTAGCTGCAAAATTATTTATATTACAATTGTAGGCAATTAATATGTAATAAAGAAGTTTGTATAACATGCCACTTGTTTCAAATATTTGCTCAGTAGGCAAACCTGATGATTACTCACACTGGGAATTAAGAGAGTATGAACTGATGTCATATGTTCTATGATTGACCTATTTAAAGTGCCTCAGAATGAAAATAGTCACAAAACGAGTAGCATTTCCAAGTCGTCATCATAGACATGCTATCTGAAAATAGTATAAACTATACTCTAAGGCAGAGTATTTTCTAAGATAGCGAATACTGTACATTATTCAGCTAAAACACTAACGGAAACAATCGCCTATGTCAAAATGTTTACTAGTAGTACAATTACTAATATTTGCTCAAAAATCAATTAATAGTTACTCAACTTAGTGTTCTATGCAATCCCACTCTGCAAAGCATAGGAGAAAAGAAGGTGAGGAGGGACATGAGGTATTAAGGGAAAAGAAGGTATTAGGCAGATGTGTTGCCTAGAAAATGTAAACTGAATGAATTCAACTTAAAAGTGAATTGGTATTATAGATTAGTTAAAAGGAAACTGTCTTTAAATTATTATTTGGAACTCTTCTTGGTGGTCAAACATAATCTATCCATTTGTTTTTTTCTCCCAGTTTTTCACATGTGTTACAGAAATCCACGGAACAGAACCACAGAGGTGCAGAGTTGAGGGGGGCACTCGGTGATCACCTCATTGTTTCTAAAAACAGGAGGATTAACCAACGAGCCTTGCTGGAGGTCACGGTAGGTAAGTGAAAAAGCCGGGCCTCCTAATCGGAACCCCAAGTTCTTCCCCAGCCCTCACAGCAGTGCCCGGTTTGAAACCTATCTTTGTAAGAAACGTGAAAGTTCTGTGACACGGAATATTATTCATATGACACCAGCTTTGCCAAAATTCCTCAAGACTCATGAGGCCTACACACTTGAATGGTCTCCACTTACTAGCAGAGTTCATGTCAGAACAATCAGTGACACTCTTTCAGGATCGTGAAAAATAATTCCCATTTTTGGAACCCAATTCCATGGGATTCCTTCTCATTTCCTTTGACTCTGAGCACATGATTATTGTCATAAATGTTTCCACTGTACTTCTAAGCAGCCTGAGTTGTTGTCTAGAGTATTGGGGAGCTTTGCTATCTCCATGGAAAGTATGTTCGCACAGGCTGCACGATTTTCTTTTTTCCACAATGTTGACTGAAATCCTGCCCTGCTTAGCGCGTGCCTCTGTAATTAAGTTTAGTGCTTGGCAGCTTCCTTCTCCCTAAGACATGAATACATGCATTACGAGCCCAAGGACAGGATGTGGAATAGAACTTACATCAGCTTTCCCTAAGGTATATAACGTTTCCAAGATCTTGTGATGAAGCAAGTATTCCATGCATGGCCCCGTCTCCCCAAACTCTCGTTCTTTTTCTTCTTGTACCAAAATATCTAACATCTGTTCCAGATGAGATGGAATATTCGTGTCTGTCACTGGGGCTTTGTCATCTAAACAATGAAAAACGTGCATCAAACATTCCAACATTTTTAAACTGCATATTTAAACTAAATGTTTTATTAAATATATTCTGAAACATTAAACTGCGCATTTTAAACTGCATTAGGTTTACAGTTGTGAGTACGTGAGACAGTTTATTCTTCTATTGTCCTTTACTAATCACTGCATTATTCTCCATACTTGACAGAACTGAAGTCCTAGCTCCTAAGCTGCATTTAGATCTCCGTGCCTTTGCACATGCTGTTCCCTCCGTCCCACATGCTGTTCCCTCCTTCGCCAACTCACAGCCTCCCACTTGTCCTTTATAACCCAGGTCAATCGCTGCCTCCTCCCGTTTCTCCCTCCTTTGTCCTCTTCCTGTGCCTGACATAAACTTATTTGTCCCCTACTTTATTACTGTGTACACACTTGTTTCTGCCAGCAGATTGCAAAAAAATCCTTTAAAGCAAGAACATAAAGCCTTTCTTTAAAACATTTCCTTAAAGCCACTGAGTGGCTAAAAAAGTCATTAGAAAAGGCAGCCCCTCTCGAAAACCTTTTCTCCACACCTGCTATCTAACATCGACAGAAAGCTGGAAATTACACTTAAAGGGATATATATCTACCTACATAGATTTTTATTCATTGCACGGATATAAAGGATTTTTTCTTTTCAGACTAATCACCTGTGACCCTGTCAGCTTCCCTAACCAACCATTGTCATTTTTCTGTTCAGGCCTCCTTCCAGTTAAGTGACGTGTCCGCTCTGCACATCAACCAGTGTTCACCTACAGGTTCCTCAAGGGAGCCCACAGCGCTAGGGAGCGGTGCTGCCGGCTTCCCTACCGTAGAGGCTGCCAAACTTGACCCACGGTCAAGTCCAGCCTCGCCGTCTACTTTGATAAAGCTGACTTGGAACAAAGGTACGCTGACTTCTCTACGTATCATTGACAGCTGGTGTGCATCACAACGACAAAATAGAGCAGCTGCAACAGAGAGCACAGGGCCCACATCTGGCCCTTCACGGAGGTTTGCCAACCCCTGACCTAATTTATTCATGTTTCCCCACGTTCGCTCTCCACCCTTCCTACTGAGAAAAACGGAAACAACCAGAAGATGATGTCTGAAGACCCCCAATACCATATCTACCCACTTCCTGCATTAACACCCAGATGTTCTGCTTTCTACCTTATTTTTATCGAGAAAGTGTCCACAAGCCTATTTAAGGCTAAGCCCCTGCTTGGGTAGTGGATCCCATCCCCCCTCACCCACTTGGGGGGGGCTCAGAAATGACCCCATCTGGCTCTTGTCCCTCCTTCGCCTCCCTACCAGATCATTCCCATCACATTATAAACTGCAGTGTCTTCCACCTTTAAAAAACAACCCTCGTTTGACGCCACGTGGCGGCCCTGTTTCTCGGCTCCCCTTTACACCGACGCTCCCCGAGGGCCACCTTCCTAACTCCGGGGACCCAGGCTGTCACGCTGTCCTGTGCCACCGTTCCCATCATCCTCACCCCTGGACTCCGGGCCCCAGGGCTCAGCTGCTGGACACCCTCTCTCTTCCGCCTCCCTCACCCTCTGGGCGGTCTCATCGGTCCCATGACTCAGTGTCTCTAGCCTAACTTCCAGAAGCCCACTGCCAACCGTCCACTCGCCACACCCCACTGGACAGACAACGCGCATCTCAAACTTAACTGTGTTGCAGATTCTCTCTCAAACCCGCACCCCCTGCAGTCTCCTCACTCTCAGGGAGCAGCCTGTCTATTTTTCCATCTCAGCCGCCTAAGCCAAAACTTTGGACTTACCCATGGCTCTTACTCTCTCATTCCTCATACCCAATCCATCAACATAACTTCCTTCTTCCTGTACCCAGAACACAGCCACTTCCTACCACCTCCACCCTGGCCTAAGCCGCCAGTACCTCTCAGACCACGGCGGTGGTCCCATCCCTCTCCTACCAGCCCTACCTCTCAGCCCTTCAACCTAGACATTCGCACATGCCAGGGTGGTCCCTGTGAACCAGCTCTGTTGCACCCATGCTCAAAACCCTCTCATGGCCTCCCGCCTTAAGAGTGTAAGCCGAAGCCCTGAGCATGGCCTATCAGGTCCGGCGTGAGTCTGCGCCCTCCGCCTGGGTGCTGTCCCTGCCCACCGCCCTCTCCTCCTCCCCTTTCGCCCTGGTCACCGTGCCCTCCTTATAGTTTCAGCCTCTGCTGAGTGCCTTCCTGTTCCAGCCTCCGGGTCTGTGCACCAGGGCCTCTTCCTGGAACCTCTCCCCACCCCCAGACCGGCTTCCTCTCTCCCTCGAACTTCAGGGCAGATGTCCCCTGGGGCAATGAGGGTTTCTCTACCCTAAAACAGCTGCTGGACTGACCCAGCAACCACTTCTATCCGCGGAGCCTGCTTCACTTTCTCTTTAACCCTTCTCCTTGGACACACTGTATGTATTTGTCTATTTACGGTTTGCTTCTCCCTGATCAATATATTAGCTATTACAATCTTGTCTGTTTGACAGTTCTGTCCCCCAGTGCCCAGGACAATGCCTACAGAGCAGGTGCTCAAGAGGCATATATTTTTAATGAGTCTAAAAGAGGAATTAAAAGTAAATTGTTGTTTTTTTTTAATATTTATTTATCTTTAGAGGGGAAAGAGAGAGGGAGAGAAACATCAATGTATAGTTGCCTCTAGTCTAGTGCATCCCCTGCTGGGGACTGGCCTGCAGGGAACCGGCCTGCAACCCAGGCATGTGCCCTGACTGGGAATCGAACCGCGATCCTCTGGTTCGCAGGCCTGCACTCAATCCACTGAGCTACACCAGCCAGAGCTAAATTGTTTATACAATTAAATATAAAACAACTTTGAAAACGAATAACCTGAAATACACTTTGGTCTTCACAAATTTTCTGTTCAGTGAACATCAGTGCTGTTTCTTACCCGAAGTCTCTATGTAGTAATGGGTAATCGCCTTCCAGTGGTAAACGAAGTCTTCTTGCAAGGGGAGAGAAGGCGCCAGCTGCACAAACACACCCAAAAAGACCACCGTTAAGACCATGGCATTGAAGTTTCCCCTAAGGTACAGCCCTGTACTTGTCTAGTAATCATAGAAATAATGGGTGAGCTTTAATTGGCTCCTGTGTCAGATATCAAAGAGAAACAAAATGAGGCGAATCCAAGAAAGTAAAAAAAAAAAGATTTATTAAGGGAGTGGAAAAACACATTTATCAATATTATTATTCAACCACAGGGTTGTTTTGTCCCCTTCCCCGGGAACCAGCGACTCCATACGGCTCAAACACTGTTAAAGGAAAACACACACTGTTCTATTAGGAAAGTATCAGTAAAATGAAATGATCGATAACCAGGGATCTTCGTACCTAGGACTTTGACCTGAAAACAGTAAAAAGCGACTACGGAGTCAGCTACACGTCACCACGACCAGAACGCACACCAAAGTCAGCCCCGTGATCAGATTAAACCCGTCCCCTCCTTTCAGTGACACACAGATGCCATTTCTTTTTTAAGCCGAGATTAGGCAGAGCACACTTTCAGCAAAATAACCATGTGAACGAGACACTACCAATTTCAAGTCCACAAAGTCAAAAATGTTTTACATTTTAGCTTTGAAATTTACTTCAGAGGTTTTAAGACCAAAATTATACCCCTTCAGCCAACCTCCAAGTATTTCAAATGTGTGTTAAAATGGACAGAAAACACTTGGTGCACCTTCAACAACATTTGCTTTTGCAGAGAGAGACAGAGACAGAGAGAGACAGAGAGAGGGAGAAGGGGGCACCCTAGTACAGTCAGTACATCCTGGTGAGGACGTGCAGAGCTGACCCAGCTTACTTAAAACCAGACGGGTTTCTATTCTGGAGACCTGGGCATTCCGTGCCCCCTATATCTACACAGGTGACTTGAGGGTCATGTTACTGCTCCGCACGCCTTCCTACTTGTTCCCTTTTGATTTGCTGGTGTCGCCAGCAGAGAACTCAAAGTCCCGAACCTGCGAAAACAACTTCCAAACTGTTGGGCAAATTATAAACACTGGTTTCAGTTCAGAAGATGCAATGAAGTTAGGGAAAAAAAGGACTTGAAAGTTTTTTAGCCATCATTGTCTTTTATACTTGCCTATTCATTCCACTCTGAATAATACTGGGCTTTGAGAATGTAAATATTCCTCTCATTTTCATGTAGAATGTTATGAGATTTTTTTCAAAAACACTTTAAAATCTTTAACAAAGGAGCTAAAACCTTTGGGATCACTATACTTCAAGAACATGGGGAGAGAAATTATTTGTGGGACACTGAGGAAAAAACTAGAAAGAAGAATAAACATAGAAGTGTTAATTTGGGAAAATAATGTCTCTGAAATTTTTCAATTAAAAAAGTATCTGTTTTAATCAGGTGCTTGTTTTTAGAATCTTCTGAACATAAAACTTCTCATTTTTTAGACCTGTTTATTTATACACACACGAACACATATATGCCAGCTTTAGGTATAGTTAAATGTATTAACAATTGGGACAAACCCAAATGAAACTGGTGTTTAAAAAAGTATGTGTTGTAACTTGTCGACTTTTTCCGAGGGAACCTCCTGGGTATATAAGATCATAGCATCCTCGTTCCAAATTACTTTACCGGTGGGATTTAACCCCATTTCCAGGGTAAGTCATTAATCAAAAGGCTTTCAGACTTTGTGTGAGGACCTTAGTCATCACAGTCCAATTCAAAGGAGGATGTTGTTGCTTACTTCCGAACACCACTCTCCCAGGAGTTTGATTTAGAGAAAAAAGCTTATTTAAGTGGTAAGTGGCTGGTGAAACAGTTCTGGTGAAACAGTTCTAAATGACTCGTAACTTAGTTTAGTAACAGTCTTGTTGAAGCATGAATATATTTCCTTATTTATGGAAAACTTTCTTGTAAACTTGCCTCTTTCATTGCTAATTCTAATATGCAAATTTACCTGCTTTACCTTTGCAAAAAACACGTACACTCTGGGTTAAAAAGAGGGCAGAGGTGTGTGCATGAGTACGAGGGGATTCTAAATGCAGTTAACTTTTCCAACACAGAGATTAAACTTTTGAAAATATATGTAATCACTGTCGCAACCAAAAACTGGCAATAAATGCCTGACTTGTCTTTGGCTTTCTCTGGGAGGCCCAGGGCGGTCCTTTCCACCTGTGGGGGCGCGCCCGCTAGCAATCTGCTCCCCCGCAGCGCTCACCCCACGTTTTTATCTGTGGAATCAGCCACCTTCTCCACTAGACAGTCAGCTCTGACAGTGCTGGGGCTGTGCCATCGTTTTCATCCCCGAATCCAGCTTCCAACTCAGCGATGGCGCACAGTAACCATGCATTATTCACTCCACATTTACTGAGTGAATAAGCAAATGCCAAAGCAGCTGCCACTATCCAATAAGTAGTTACATGTCAGGCGGTGTGCTACAAAGTCCACACTTACTGCGTGGTCTTAAATTCTCACCATAAACTCCTACTTCTCCCAGACAAACTCCTATGAAGACCCAAAGCCAGATAACTGACTTGCCCAAGCAAACACTGCTTGTGACTATGGACTTGGATTGTCTTTCTCCAACGTGCCTACCACCTAAAGCATCTAACCCACCTATCTCATGTTGATAACCCACACGAGAACTAGTGCTCTTAAAGCCCCATCTGCTAACTGCTTCACACGCATCACGAGCATTCCATGCCCAGATCTTTTAAAATGCTTCTTCCTCGCCCCAACTTCCCTCACGCCCTTCCTCTCTCCTCTGCCTCCCAGGTCCGGCTCAAGTCTCACTTCCTCTGGGAGCCTTTCCCTGCTACTCCAACCCTCAGTGCCTGCTCCATTTGTCCTTCAGAGCTCACCAGCTAAACAGTCATCCAAATAATGACAATGGTTAACATTTACTAAGCTCTTCAGGTACATTACCTCATTTAAATTTTCAAAACAATTCTAGGAGAGAGGGACTGGAACCCTTTTCTGTCTGGCTCAAAGGGCTAAGCCACACTCCTGCATACTGGTTCTCCTTTAACTCGTGTATTTGTTTTGTCTCCCAAATTAGACTGTAAACTTTGTGGGCAAGGATGCTGGCACACCTTGTTTGTCTCGCGGTGCCATGCCTTCTCGGCTGGCTCATTAAATGTGTGCTGAATGTCCAAAGGACTGAAGTCGGAAATCAGTGGTTGGAAAAGAATACACTTAAGAAAACATGGCATATGTTTGATTTGACGTTTTCACTTCCTGGGCAGAGTCATTTTTAAAAGAATTGCTGGCCCCTCAGAAGCATCATTAACTCAACGATATCAAATTCTGAAAGATGACGGCCCCGACACTATCCTTTATCCTCTTGGAACGCACCTGCCCTTTAAAAGGATGGAACTGGCTGGAATTTAAAAGGTACCAGTCCCTGGCAGATTACCTAGGGCAGACCAGGCCCTCAACAAATACTGAATTGTACTGATTGGGAGGTATTTTATTTACGCTTTGGAGAATTTGTACGAAAGTGATCCAGTCCAATTTCTGAACAAGAGAGGCCTGATTTCAGATTTGTGACATGTGGCAACGAACAAAACAGACTCATTTCATAATGCTTCATTTCATAATGCTTACTGGCCAATCGTTTCTATGCTGAAGGAAGACTGTCATTTCTGAAAAGAAAAGGCAAGAATTACAAGATTCGCTTTTGATCAAGGTGTGAATTTCTTTCTTAAAACTCAAAATACAGCCTATCAACTTAATAACACATTTTCAAATACTAATCTTTGAAACTATCTTAGTTGCCTTTTCTTTCTTGAAAGTAGTTAATAGAAAGTGAGGAGAAACCACTCATTAAACAATAAGGAAAACTGCATCTTTAAACCTCATTTAAATGACTATGTATCTGGTCAACCCTAAAAAGCTACTCGAGGGCTGATCCAATTGAATGAAGAAACCTAAATGTGATAATATCACAACGGGAAAACATTAGCATCATAAATGGCACAACTGAAAAAGGTCATGTGTAATCCTGATACTTCTGTTCATTGTAATTCTTCATCAGAAAATACTCAGCATACAAATTAAAAGGAGCACAAAGAAAAGCGAATGAAAAGGACTGAGGAATGGTGAGTTCACAAAAAAAATGTTGAGCAAATAAATAGAAATGAATAAATGGACACCAGTCTTGGGCTAGGAAAAAGTATTCCTCCAGTTCCACAAAGATGGCTTATTTATCATTAGGTACTGGTTCATTTCCCAGAGATATGGTTAGAAGAAAAAAAAAAAACCTAACAATATGCCAAATTTTTTTCATGAGCTTTAACCTCCTATAGGGAATTGGAAAGTATCACAGCTGATACATCAACCCTAAGCCAATTAAAACAACGTGTTTCTAAGTTCAGTATGTTAGTTCTGAGGACCAAGTGAATAGAATCCACTCTAACTTTCTCTCTCGCCTCAGCAAAGTAGAGAACCTGGATATTGCAGAGCCAGAGTCAGACAATTTACATGGATAATTTGGCAGGCGCTAACACAGTTATAAAAAGATAATGAGGACAGAAAACACAGGCCTCAGGGACAAAAATGAGCCATCATTTTCAAAGTAGTTATCCTATAAATATGGGCCCGATAGGGAAAGGATATAAATAATGTAGTAAATTTTTACTCCCAACTGTCTCAACATGAAGCTGTAGTCAATGTTTAACATTAAATGATTGTCAGTGTTTTAAACTAAGGAATAATGAAAAATGTATATGTCATGGTTTTTACAAATAGATGCTGCCCGTTGATTGTGTAAAAGCAGGGAAGGACAAATGACAGTTGTCTTGGAGTCAAAACTGTCACCTCCCTCTGTAATACTGCCTGTCATTTATGAACACTTCCTTTCTTGACTCAGTTGTTACACATGCTTTACCGAGAACTTGTAGTAAAGCTACAACGATTTAAAAACATTTCCCACCTGTCCATTAAAATAAATCTATGAAAGTTTGTTTTCATTACTGAATTTGAAAAATTCATGTTATTTTTATGGTCTGGGAATAAAAGCGGTTCTACTGTAACTGTTTTTTTTTTAAAGCTGTGTGAATTTTAATGTGCTATATGATACGATCTGCACACAGAAAAGAAGATGACATTTTAAAATTTAGCCAAGTACTAGTTTCTTCACAGGATGCACTTTTCAATTTGGGCAAGTCTCCCAGAGTAAAGCCACTAAAGTCAAGCAGTTAGAGCTCTTATTATTCAAACGGCGGCAAGACATGTTTATTTTCTTCTCTTGGGTTAGTCTGTTAAGACATTTGAACGATGTGTGTCCACGACGGGGTCTCGAATCCTCAAAGGAGGGGGCAATGCCACGATCAACCCAGAAGGTCCAGGAAGAGGAGGCAGGAAAGGAAACAGATGGCCGGGTGCCTCGTGAGGGCCCGGGCTGCCTCAACCCCACACGCCGGGGCCCTGGAAACTCGTGTGTCACATCAATCGATCAGGTCCAGCCCCAGGCCTGCGACAGCAGACGCGGCCGAGACTACGGCCCGGGGTCGGCTGGGCTGAGCCCCCGCCAGAGTCGCCCCAAGGTAGGACACCCTGCCGCTCACCCTCAAAACAGAACAAAACTGATCCGTGCCCGGCCGTTTCTTTTGTCTTGCTCAAGGCCGATCACTTTTTTCCGGGGAAGTTGACGGTCGTGGACCCGGGGGCGCTCCCCGGGGCTCCGCCAGGTGCTCCCCGGCTGCCCCGTCCCCACCGGGGGAATCGGGAGACCCCCCGACCCCGGCCACCCCCGCCCACCCTCCTGCGGAGGGGACGCGGCCCCGCCGGCCCCGGGCGGGAGCCGGAGGAAGGGCCCGGCTCGGAGCCCGGCCCGAGGCCCCGGCGCCCCGACGAGCCCGCGGCGCCCGCCCCGGGCCGGGCCGAGGCCGGCAGGGCGCGTAGGCCGCCGCCAGGCCCCGCCAGCCGTGCGCCCGCGGCCTTACCGCCTCCACGGCGTGCTGCAGGATGGAGGTGAACTTGGAGAACATCCTGTCCCGGGACTGCAGCAGCCTCTCCCGGGACGACCTAGAGAGCTCCTCGATCCGTCGCCGCCGCCCCTGCTGCGGCTGCCGGGGCCGCTCCAGAGTGAAGGCCGGTGCGGGGCGCGGGGGGCGAGCGGAAGGCCGAGGCAGGCCGGGCCCGCCGCTTCGGGCAGTGGGCGCGGGCGGCGCGGCGGCTCCGGCGGGCGCCGGGACGTGGCGGGCGGCGGGGAGGGCGTTCCGCGCGGACTCCGGCCCGCGACGCTCCGGCGGCGGCGGCGGCGGCGGCTCCGGCTGGGACACGGTGGCAGCCGAGCTCCGGCTCCTTCCGCCTGCTCTGCCCGCCGCGGCCTGCAGGGGGCGCCGTCGCGGCCCGGGGAGGTCCCGGCCAGGCCTGCCCTGCGGCGGGTGGCGGTAGGACGCCGCGGGGGCCGGACCGGCGTGGCGAAGCGGAGGGCGGGAGCGAGAGCCACAGCCCTCTCCTGGCCTCCCGGCGCCTCCGCCACGCCCGTCCTTATGTTTTTAAAATTCAGCCGGTCTCACAGTTGTGTTGCCAGTGGAAGTCACGTGCGGATTTTGTAGGGCACCGTGGCCGTGTATGTATAGGATAACCTGAGTTCATCTTTTAAGGGCAGATTTGGGAAAACGGTAAGAAAAAGCGCAGTATTAAGGCAAAGTGCACCGTGGATTTAAATGATAAAAGTCAGAGCAAATCAGCTAGTGGTGAAATGGCTTTGCAAACTGTAAAATATACTACTATTAATTATGCAACTTTAAGATAGGAAGCCCAAACGGACAAACAGCAAGAAGGGTCAGTTAATAATTTGTTACCTGTGGTATACCTAGATGCAATGAATTCAGTATAGCATTTTCTATTCAGGTCATCGCATGACGTTGGAAAACATTAGTGAGGGAAAGAATCGGAAGGGATTCTAGGAAATTCACAGGTCAGACAAGTGGAGCTACAGCATAAGCACTGGAATGGAGCCTTCTTAAAATATTATGCAACAGTATGCATTAGTCAAGCCTTGGAAAACCGCAGTTTGTTCGGGCTGGTGAAATGTAGGGTGGGTTGATACAAATGATGAAAATGTGCATATCCTGGAGAAATTTGTGTTTGTTTTTGCTAGTACTGGCATTTTATTGAAAGGACCATTAAGTTCTTGATAAGATGAGGGTGGAGTAAGTTTTGCAAAACCAGTGATAAAAACATGTATTTGCCGTTGAACAGAGAAAAGGCACGAAAGGCAGTGCAAAGTGTAAGAGACACTGCTGAGCTAAGGTGCCCAGGCTGAAACCCCAGCTGTGCCACTCACTGTGGCGAGTTATTTAACCACTGTGCACTTTAGTTTCCTCATCTCTAAAATTGGGGAGAAGAACACGAGGTTGTGTGGGACTTTATTAACATATGTCAAACACATATGTTTGACAGTTTGACTAGGGACAGTTAACAGTCCCTAGTCCACAGTAAGCAACACACAGCCATTCGCGTTAGCATCATTGTCATTAGCAACAGCAGTATTTAACAACAACAAAAAAATTGGGCCACTCTGGGTCTGCAGAACACTTACCTACACCCTGGGGACCATGGGTGGTAACCCTATTTCAGAGGTTAGAGGAATTCAGCCATCTTATCTATAGTGACTGCCTGTAAGTGAGATTAAGGGGGAAAACAGTGGGGGAAGGGTCCTTTCCAGACTAGATGAGGTGCTTCTCCAGGGAACCTGGGGGTCTCAGGTACCTCTTTTGTTTACTGATGTCTGCTACCTCCTAATGCAATCCACATCAATTACTAGATTCCCGAGCCCTGAACGTGCTGTCTGCTGTTTGCAGTCTTCAGTCTAAAGTGCTGGGAACAAGATGATAAATAAAAAAGACACCCCCCCCCAAAAAAAAATAGGGCCAGAAATCAAGATTTAAGGAGACTTTCTTCTTTCTTTCTTCCTTCCTCCCTCCCTCTTTCTTTCTCTCTCTTTCTTTCTTTCCCTTCCTCCCTTCCTTCTTCCCTTTCTTTCCCTCCTTCCCTCCCTCCCTCCCTTCCTTCCTTCCTTCCTTCCTTCCTTCCTGCCTTCCTTCCTTCCTTCCTTCCTGTCTTGAAATTTATATTAAGGATTATCATCAAATTCCACTCACTGGGCCTTACCGTGTTAGCAAGACACTTCCCCTCCTATAGCACACCACCTGTACTCATGAGCCCATTGGCCACCAGCGACCCCAACTCCGAGCTCTAACAATGTGCATAGGAGGAGACTTGAACTAGTCTTTTCTTCTTTTCTCCTCTGTTCATGTTACTTGTGTCCTTGCGTGATGGATAGATTTGACCTTTCTTTTCTGTGCACTGGCCCCCAGGCTGCTGGGGTTGGTTATCTTCCATTGTTTGCTAAAACCTGAAACGTGCTCCTAACTACATTTCGGCTAATTGTGCCTGCTTTGACCCACAGTCCGTAATGGCTGTTATTATTATTGCTCACATAATTTAAGATGGCTAGTCATATGATTAACTGTAATTCTTTTCCTGACCTAACTGTCCTACATTTATATGGTATTTTGCATTTTCATAATGCCTTATGACCATTTACTGTATGGGGAGGTCTGTGTAAGACAGAATTAGAGTTGTTTGCCTTTGATGATGCCTTTGTATACTTATTATAAACACAATAAAATATACGGTTCACTTTAGATTAATAGCAGCATTTAGGGTGATGATTCTTCTACCTGATAGCTAGGTTCCAAGACATACCAGCTGAACTAGACTTGTACTTGAGCAGACAGTCTTACCTCTGGCTCTCATCCTGGAATGCCTACAGTGACGCTGTGTGGTGGCGATTTTCCTCACAAGTCCCCCCATGTGCCAGGGATGAGAGAAAACATGACTGAGACATGATCTGCTTGAGGAGGAGAAGTGGCCAGTTTCCCAGAGGAAAAAGGCCTTGAGCAGTGGCCAGTTTCTCAGGGGAAAAACGGCGTTGAGCCCCTTCCTCTAAGGACTTTTATTGGGTTGTAATACACAGGAATACAGGGTGATAAGGATCAAACAGTAGATAACATTTCAAAGAAATCTGAGGGCTTAGTTTGAGTCAGAGTCTGTTAGGAACAGAGTTTTAGGGTTTCCTGCTCGAACCCTTAACATAGGAATGAAAGCACTCTTAGCAGAGCAGATTTCACAGGCTTATCAGGAAGTCTTTGTGATGCCAGATTTTTCTCCAGGACACCCAGGACAAGCTCTAGCCAGGCAAGGAGCTGCACCCCTCCCCATCAGGTATTCAGGCTTAAGCGGATTAGAGGCAGGAAGTGCTTCTCCCAGAGGACATGGGGATTCCAGCTTTGTTGAAGCAGGAAGGGGGGGGTGCTGAGAGTCCATTGCTTTTTGTTGCAGCCCCCCCCCTTCCACGAAGGCCTCCCAAGTGATCAAGTCTGGCCTAGGTTGCCCCTCCTCTGAGGGGTCTTACCTGTCCCACCATGCCTTGGGGGCAGGGAGGAAACTGAGGCAGCGTTTGCTACCAGAGTCAAGCCTTGTCTCCTGCTGCTCACATTCCAGAGGTCATCTCTGGCCCTTAGCCACAGGGGGTCCAGCCACAATTCCTAGAACCAGGCAGAGCGGTCTACAACAACACTGGGTTTATGGCCCGCCTTACAAATGGGCAGAGTTGAACCTGCCTCAACAGAATGTGATTTGAGAACTCATAGCAGAGACTTCTCCTGGCCTCCAAAACCCATATATGTGGTTGCCTGGAAGTCTATTGGAACTCTATTTCTTCATTCCTTTGGCTTAAGCCAAATAAGAAATTCTGTTCCTGATAAAACGAAAATGCTCTTGGGAAAGATAACAAACACATTAAAAACTCTACCATTCAGCCCTGGCTGGCATAGCTCAGTGCATTGAGCACAGGCCTGTGAAACAAAGGGTTGCTGGTTTGATTCCCAGTCAGGGCAAATGCCTGGGTTGCAGGCCAGGTCCTCAGTAGAGGGCACATGAGAGGCAACCACACACTGATGTTTCTCTCCCATCTTTCTTTTTCCCTTCCCCTCTCTCTAAAAATAAATAAATAAAATATTTTTAAAATACCCTCTATCATTCATTATACCTCTAGGTGAATGAATTTCTTAAATTCTTTTCTGAATGAAGTTTAATCAGTAAGGACGCAGGAAAAAAATCTATAAAACTGAAACTTGGGGTGGGGTCGAAAACAGAAAGAGGAAGAGGAAATGGAGTTAGACGATGCCTACTTCCAAAGTTTGACGGACTTCAGGTTAAATATGTGGATTGAATTTAGTAATATTCCCTCCCCGACTGCCATTAAAATTAAGGAGATTTTTTTTCAAGGTATAGACCCAAAAAGACTTAAGAGAGGAGATAATAGCAACAAAATTTTGAGAACTGCGAAGTTTTTGTCAAGGAGGTAACCGATGGAGCTGACCTAAAAAAAAAAAAAAAAAAAGGAAGAAGCAGCTGAATCCTAAGGCAAAAATTAAAATAACGAAGAACCAGAGTGATATGTTAATACTTTCAGAGAACCTGGCAATGGCCCAGGAACCGGTGGCACTGGGTACTCTGAAAGTGGGACCCAAAATAGCAGATTGAACTGGAAGTTTGTTTAGACCCTTCCCCACTCCACAAGGTTGCTGGCTACCTGCCCCTTTCCGTCCCAGGTGTAGGACCAGAGACATTCCTGGAAGAGACAGTGGCTCCACATGAGGGCAGGGCAAAGAAAGACGATTAAGTGAAAATAAGCCTTGTAAATATTGAGATACATGTCCCCAGGTCTCATCCTCCTCTTGGCTCAGAATATAGGCATCAGGCTGATCTGATCTTTCCAGGTTGAAAATGGGAAGGGTCCTCTCCGGAGAAGCTAACAGTGCGAAAGAACCGAATAACGACCCTGTAGAGCAAACCCAGACAGCCCTCCTCCGCGGGCAAGCTCTGTCCCCTGCCCAGAGCCTCAGACAGTTTGTTCCTGTGTCTCTTTTAAATAGGATCAGACAGCCTGGGGTCATCAACAATTTGAGGAAAGCTTGTAATGTTAATGATGGGGACTAACAGAAAAAAAAAAAAAGGACAAAAAGGAACTTGGAGGAAACAGTTGCTTGCACTGAACAGATAGGGAGAGATGGGGAAGAAAAATAAAAAAAAACCCCACTATTTATTAATAAATAAAAGAAGAAATAAATGAAATATTAGAAATAAATAGATGAAATAAAAGAAGATACTACATTAGTAAAACATGAATGGTATATTATTTGTGAAGCACCACTAGAGAACATTTAGAAATCAAGAATATTATAATAGAAATTTAAAACAACATAAAAAATATGGAAAATAAATGTGGAAAAATTTCCCAAAGACTGGAGCAAAAATTATGATACAGTGATGAAAAATGGGGGGATATGGAGGGAATAAAGAGAAGAAATCATTGAACTAATAATTTAGTATAATTTTATAAATCTGAAAGACATGAGTATCCAAATTGAGGGAGTTCATTAAATACCAGAAACAGTGAATAAAAACAGACTCATGCTAGTGGCCATTATTGTAAAATTTCAGAGCATCGGGTCCAAAGAAAGATCTTATAAAACTTGTAATGAAGAGGAAAAATAAAAGAAAGCAAGTTCACACAAGGACTCAAAATTATAATATTACACTTAAAAATTTTTTATCCTCACCCAAGGACACATTCATTGATTATTATTGAGGGGGGAAGGGGGAGGAGAGAAATATTAAAGTGAGAGGGAAACATTGATTGGTCGCCTCTCATATGTGCTGCCCATGTCAGGGGGCCAAACCCACAACCCCCATGTGTACCTTGACCCGAGGAATTGAACCCATAACCTTTTGGTTTACAGGACCACCCTCCAACCAACCAAGCCACACCAGGTAGGGCATGACATCACACTTTTCAACAACAACGTGGGAAGGAAAGAGATATTGGGGCAATGCCTTCAAAATTCTGAGGTGAAGTCATTTCAATCTAGAATTCTACCAGGCAGGACCTCCCCCAAACCAGAATTATCTTCTGGAGGGCAGGCCCCTTGTAGTACAGGCTTCCACGGGTAGGAGAGTGTTCTAGGAACCCATCTGTATCAGTGTACCAGCTGGCGTTGTTGTGAGAGGCTGCGTTTGGCTTCAGTTTTGTTTTTGAAGACTCAGTGCGTTTGCCCATTTCATGGCGGGTGATTTACAAGTGCACCTGCCCACACTGCGCTGAGTGTTCAGCAGTTTGTGACCAAAAGCAGCATGACCTCTGTGCCCCACTCTTCCTACTCACCCAATCTCAACCCAGCAACCTTATCTTTTGTTTCCCCAGGAAAAAAAAATATCCTCAAAGGGTAACATTTCATCAATGTGCCAGAGGCGAAATAAAAAACGGCAGAAGCACTAAATGGCATCAAAATTGTTGAGTTCAACAACTGTTTTGAACAGTGGAAAAAACACCTAGGTGTATTGCATCAAATGAAGGGTACTTTGAAGGTGACTGAAGTTTAAACACGTAACAGTAAGTACACAAATTTTTATAAATAAATCCTGGGGTTTGGGGGGTTCTTCCTCTTAGACTAAGGAACTGTCAGTTAAGGGTGAGGGTAAAATAACTCATTTCCGATGTGCAAGGTGTTGACCACGTTTTCTGCCTTGCACGCTTCCTCAGGTAGTTATCAGAAGTTAGGCTCTGCCAGAACTCAGGGAGCGGGCCCAGGGAAAAAGAGACAAAGGAATTAGGTACCAGAGCCCAGCAGAAGAGGGGGAGGAAGGAAAGCCCTAAGGTGATCATGAAGCAGGACCCCAGGATGACAGCTGTGCACCAAGCTCTGGTGGCAGGCCACCAGCCCAGACTGGAGAAGGTCCAAGGGGAGTTCCTCCAGATGAAACTGATAGATGGAATATCTCTGAGTTTGAGCGGATTTGCAATAGAGGAATAGACCTTGATGTTGGATTAGTGATAGATACAAAGAAAACAAAGCAAAGAAAGCAATCAAGACTGTTATTCACACCAAGAAAAATAAAATACTGTGCAGGAGCAAGTAATCATAGTGTGCATGGCTCAGCTGTAAATAGTGTTGACATGACCATAATAAGGTAAACACTGGTCCGATCAAGGTCATGATGCTGCTGTACCGGGAAGAAGAAAAGGAGGGGGTGCGGCGGAGGTGGAGAGGGGCGCGTGTGTGTGAAAAAGTGAACTCCTCCACAGTGAGGAAACCTTAGATATTGCTTAAAACAGAAATGTCAAGAAGTAACACACATATTTAAACAAAGGAAGTAACAAGAGTCCACTCCAAGTGCTGCCTTCGTGGAGCCGAAAATTACAAGTTGTGGAGGAAGAACAGGGGCTTTCAAAACACACCTTGTAAAACCTCTTGACTAAACCATATGCTGGTGTAACTCATATGCCCAGAGTTTGTTTGGCAAGGGGAGAAGCTAGAGGCAAGAACCGTTGCTGGTGCTTTACAAAAAGTTCAGACAAGAGATTACAAGGGCCAGTACTGTGGGAATAGGAAGGAGAGAGTAGACTCGAAAGATGAGGTGAAATCCACCAACTTTTGTAAGGGATTAAACATAAAGACTGAGGGGGAGGAAACCAACGTGTGGCTGGAGTTTCTAGCTTGGATAAGGGTAGGCGAAGATTTCATTTATTGAGATAGGGAACATGGAGATGTAGAGAAATAATTAGATGAGTATGTACTTTTTTTGGTTAGGTTTGATTTACTCGTGTGATGACATCTTTGGGAATATGTCCAGGATGGGTCAATGAGTTTGGATCAGTAAGTCAGGAAAGAGATCTGGGCTGGAAATAAAGATATGAGAGCCATCTCTTAAAAATGTTAATTGATTCTGTAATTGTCTAAACACTGGGCTGTACAACTGAAACTAATATAAAATGATATTAAACGGCATCTGTAATTGAAAAATAAAATGTAAAAAAGATGGTAATTGAGACAGAGGAATAAGCGAGACAGGTCAGTGAGATGGTATAGTGAAAGGAAAAAGACCAGGAACAAACTTAAGGACTCCCTGGATGTAAAGATTGGGGCACAGAAGAGGAATTCACTGAAAAGGAGCAGAGAGGAAGGGAAATACTGGGAGGAAGTTCAGGGAGAAGAGAGTTTCTAAGCTTGGGAGGCTGGCTCAAGATCCCGTGGTGAGTTGGCATAGGCTGCCAGCTTCATCCCTCGAACTCAAGTCTGTCTCGCTGCCACAGAAACCAAAGGGCGGCCGATCAAGCTCCTGGGGGAGCACAGCAGATCCCTCTGGTGCTTGGGGTCACCTTCCCTTGGCCCACTTCTGACTGCAGCTGCGGTGGGCCGTTCCAAGCACGTGCAAGCTGACCTCAAGGAGAGAGTCTCACTTCAGTCTCGTGCTGCCCTCCTTGGACTCTTAGCCGATGGAGGGTGGAATCTGGTGGATAAATACTTTTGTGTCCTGTCTCTCTGGTGAGAACTAACGTTAGGACATATTCTGGACACTTCTTGGAATGTCCCAGTGGACTCAAGTGCCCCAGGCCCACAGTGGTGACCTCGGTTGCCTTGTGAATGCCTTCCTCCATTCTTATTCTCCCCACTTCCTCACTTCCTGGGATTTGACGTGAACTACTCATAGTCGAGTCTTTGTCTCAGGCTCTACTGTGGAGAAATCCCATTGCGTGGGAGTGAGAGTGGGACCCGAGGGGAAGGTCAAGTGCCACAGGTTGGGTAGAGAGGTAGGGAGGTACACTTCCACCCTCCAGGATGGAAGTCACCATAGAAGGACAAATCCTGAAAAGCAGCAGTGCTGTAGTCGGTCCAGCTGCCTAGGACAAAATAATCCCAAATAATAGTGGTTTAAAGAAGTTTCTTCCTCTTTCCAGTAAATGAAGTCTGTCTGGTGGGCAGGCAGGACTATATGGTGGCCCTGGCCCTGCCATATGTACTTCTGTCCCCTGCTGGTCTCACAGGGGTGCTAGAAGTCCAGTTACCGATTGAGGGGGTGGCAGCAGGAGGAAGCAGTTGGGGGATGGAGAGAACCTTTCCCAGTTGTTAATCCCCTTTAACCAATCCTTTCTGAAAGTTCCACACTGCTGCTAAAATTCTATTGGCCAGAATTTGCATAACTCCACCCTGTGGCTGGGAAAGAAAGGGGAAGTGTAGGGTTTGATTCTGAGTAACTACCGGAAAAATAAAAGTTCGAAGTAAAACTTTCAGGCTCAGTACAATTTTTTTTCTTAATCCAATGGAATGTAGGAAAAAGGAAAAATATGTAAAAAAAAAGAAGCATGAAAAATAGAAAATAGTTCTTTCAGTTGATGATACCAAATGTAAATGGGCTAAACTTACCAATGGAGAACTACAGATGCGTGTAGTAGATTTTGTAAAATATCTAGAACCATATTTTCTAGAAAGAGCACATTTACAACAGCAGAAGAGAAAGGCTGTAATAAAGGGATAGAAAAAAATACACCAGACAAATACGAGTCAAAGAAACACCAAGGTAACAATTACATTGGACAAATATAATTGGTCCATGTTTGCTGCTCCGCCCCTGGGCCCTATGAGCCGGCCGCCGCATCTCACGTGACCAGATAAAACATTGCCCTTACATGATGCCCTACTTTATGAGCACGATTCACATGGAAACAGCAAAGGATTTCTTTTACCTCATGGATAAAGAGAGCATATTTTATAACAGGGTCAACTGTGTGAAAAACTGAATCTTGTGTATCTGCAGAGGAAAATCATTCAGATAGAAGGGACCAGGCAATGTCAGAACGCCGGGCACACACAGAACAGAGTGTTGAGGAGCTAGAGACCAGCCTAACTGTCCCGCCACATCCCACCTTGTAATCCCCTCAAAGCCATGCATCCAACATGCAATCAATATAGAAAGTGATTAATGAGATCGTTCACATTCCTTTTTAAGAAATACCAAGCCTTTCAAACATGGCACAGATTTCTCAGTTGGGACTGGCTGTGTTTCAAGGACTCAGTAGCCACATGTGGCTATTGAGGAGGTTAAGGAACTGGGAAGCCATGGTCTGGAGGGGTCCTTCAGGAGGATGTGGAAGGCTGAGGATGGTGGCAGGACTTGGAGTGGGAAGTACACGGAAGCCAGGTGCTAAGTCACAGTGATGGGGATGACAGGGACTGGGAAGTATACAGGAGGTGTGGAGGTTGGCATTGCCATATGGCTTAGAGCTAAAGGGAGCAGGAATTTCTACAGCAGGGTGAAAAGCAAGGCCTGGGGTGGGGAGAGAGGAGGTCACCAGTCTTTAAGATCATCTCGTTAAAAGACCTCACTCTATCGATGAGGAAACTGAGGCCAGAGAGTGTGGTAGCCCACCTCCAGCACATCCCCCAATCATCCCCACCTTCTGGTATTCACACCCTTGCCTACTCCTCTCCCATAGTGCACCAGGGTTAGTTCACATGGACAACGGAGTGTAGAGAAGTGATGTTGCTTTGAGATCAGGTTAAAAGGGTTACTGCAGCTCCTGTCTGGCTGCTCTCCCACTTTGGAAGAAGCCAGCCACCATATCACGAGCAACCCTGTCGAGAAGCCCACGTGGTGAGGAACTGAGCCTCTTGCCAGAAGCCCTGGGAGTGGGCTTAGAAGCAGATCCTCCAGCCCCATTTGAGCCTTCAGATAACTGCAGCTCCAGCTGATGTCTGCCTTGCAGCCTCTGGAGAATCTCCGGGCAGAGCCAGTTAAGCTTCTCTTAAATCCCTAACCAGGAGGAACTGGAAGATAATGCGTATTTGTTGTTGTAAGCCACTGCGTTTGAGGTGATTTGTTAAGCAGCAATACACAAATAATAATGAGAGTTTTTTGTAACTTACTCAAGGATGCAAAGCTAGTTGGTGGCTGATTTCCAATGAGAACAGAGGGTTCCTGGCTCTCAATGTTCTGTTACATCACATCGTATTCTGATTTATCTTGGACTTCATTTGTATTGGACACGCATGCATTCAGGAGGTGTTAGTGACTACCTAAAAATGTTTAATGGGTCATAATTCTGGTTTTTTTCACAGGCAAAAATAAAGTGAAAACTGGGCCATCGTTCTTCATGGAGTGCAGAATAAGATTCAGTGAGGTAAATATTGACTTTGTCCTTCCTGGGCAGTAATGCATAAGCATTAATAAAGCACGTGTCTATCTTTGTGCCGCAATTTCTGGAAGGATAGAGATGACTAATTTAATTTTGTGCAACAGCTTAGGGATAAAACCAGAAATGTAATTTCTTCTTGACTACTTTCAATGTCCTCACGAGAATGGCGTAGAGTACCCAGTATTATATTGTTTAAATATATTGTTCAAATACTCCGATCATTCTGACCTAGGAAGGTGAGTCAACGACAGGATCCAGTGTCTTCATTTCTGCCTGTTGTCTCTAAATGTAACATTCAGAGAAGGGCAGGTTGCCAAAAAGGCACTTTACGGCTCTTATTTCCTTGCCGTGGAGTCTGCCATTTAGATGCATGAGACTATTACATCAAAGCTTCGTGTGCCTTTTTGACTTAGTTTGGGTCTC